ATGAGGTATAGGAGGATTTATATTCTTCAGATCGATGTGAACACTAAAATCGATGTGATTTCTCTACGATGGTCTTGAATTCGCTTGGAGTCAAGAGGGTTGTTTGATGGACAGTTGAAAGGGGATTTGATGTAAGACCTTTTTAGTAATTATATTGATGGATATGGCAAACTTTAGTCATATACGAGTACAAGTATGGCGATTTAAATCATATACGAATAGAGTCATCACTGTGGTCAAGGTAGGATACGTATGGTAACTTGTTAATGTTCTTCATTGTGGTGTACTTATGGTAAATCAAGATATACAATTGTGGTCTTCCTTTACTATTGTAGATCATGCATGTCACAATTCTCGAAAAACATATACATTTCCTTCACTGGATTAAACATATAACAGTTCGTCACAGTCGCATAATTTATAAATATTAGGATCCGTCACAGCCGCATAATTTTGCTTCACTAGATTCGAAAATTCAAACTTTCCCTCCATACCCATATATCATTACGAGTACTCGGTTGTTGAAGAGATGGAGTTACAAAGCACTGAAATTGGTACCAAATGATACCTTGATAGCGCAGAAGGAGAAGGTTAAAAGATAGGAGCTTGGAAACCGAAAAATGAGAATGGACCAGTAGCAGGACCGTCGTAAAGTTCTACCACACCGTCAGAATCGACGATGGGGCCGTAAGATCTGATATGAGCATGAGTTGGTTATTAAACACCAAATTCCCATTTCCGGATATTGGGAATGACATGTGTACTGATATCAAATGATATATGGGAAAAGTTGATATGAATTGGAGACGGGAAAATCCGGTATGAATAGGGAGGATGGTGGACGGCGACGCTGACTGATAAGGAGGGTTTAAAATTGATTGTGGGTGGATTCGGGGGAATGTGGAGAGAGGCGATATGATGATCATACGTGATGTGATGATTTGAGGGTGAGTCAGATAATGAGGGGCCTGAGCCTGGCGTTTGAGAGTGTTACAATGGATGGATAAGTTGTAAAGTATGGTTGAATGAATGGGGAGGATAAGAGGTAAAAGAAAAGCTCACCCGGCTGAATCATCTTGTACAAGCCGAGCTTCGTACGGACCTGTACTGGTGGACATCCTATCTGGTCAGACATGCAAAGCGCGCCATCGATTTTCATTCTTCGCAAATGTCACTTTCCGGTGGTGGACTTTACCAAAGGTGTTGGGGGTTATACGACCCCGTGAGAAGATATCAAGGTTGGCCACTGGACTGCCCCTCCAAACCTAGAGGAACAGTCTTTAGGTTGGAAAGGAAAGAGTAGAGAATAAGAGTATCTTTGTGACATATTCACCCCGACGGATGATGAGAGGAATGTAGTTGGCTCATTAGGCAAGGAAAGGTGGAAAAAAAAAGTTCAAACTCACAGGAAATATTGATTACTCTTCCCAGCTGTAGAATACCGGTATTGACAGTCTGCCAACCTGACCGTAGACCCATTGACAGGTATACGTAATGCTTCTAAACATTGAATGTCGGATTGGTCATATGTGAAGAGGATATGACCGTAGAAGAATTCGGGGGAGTTTGACCTTTTAAAGTCAACCACTGTCACACTGATGCTCTACTCTTGTAGAAGTAAATATCCGAATGAATCAACATGGAGAAGGGGGTAGTAGGAGAAGATATTCTAAGAAAAACTTACAAACCCTCATATCCCTTGCCATCGGGTCCTTGACACACCTCAAACCCAAATTGCTGAGTTGATCGACAATCCCCACAAGCTGCAATTTCACCGTTGCCATCCACTCCGACTTGAGTGACGTTAAAGGTTGTGGTTTGGGTATCAGGATGGAACTGTGTCACATTGGCATAAAGATGAATCCATCCGTTGAGTCCGAAAGAGGTGAAAGGGCCTGTAATCAGCGAGGAACAAGTTTCAAGCCGAGGAGATGACTAACCTCCGTATTGGAATTGCACACAGGAAAGTCTGTCGTCTCTCTTTCCCAAGGGAGAAGCAGCGGCAAGAGTGGTTAGGAGAGATGAGAGGACGAGGTACATTTTCAAAAGGATACAGATGGATGTCAGTACGGGTCAAGGGGAGAGTGATAATTCATTATATAATGTGCATTCGACTAGCAAGGGACTCGTGTGAAGTGGAGTGACTCAGCGGGAGGGTTCCTGCGGGAAGAAGAGAGGACACATCGGTTACAAGATGACAGACTACTAGCTCAGGCACGTTAGATCCATGTGTGGAAAGGAAGAGGAGGAGGAAGGGTCGAAGAGCGGGGTGCGATTGATATGTAGATGGGGGCGCTTGGAAAGGAGATGATGGAAGCGGGGCGGTGCTGCTGACGTTGACCCCACGTACATCTCATGACCGCATGAGTCATCGGTCGGACAGAAAGGTATGAGGAGCATGACCGAGTGAGTGGATGTAAGGGTACGGATGGATCATGGAGAAGGTGGGTAGAGTAAGAGATACTTAGGGCAAGGATCAAGGGAGGATGAGAGGAAGGGAAGGGAAGGGATGTGGCACCTCACTCAATGTGGCGAAAACGCTACTTTTGACGCACGGGTTTCATAATCGCCCTACCATCGACGCAGGATCGAACCTCATACCACATATGATGATACACCTCTCTTCAAGTCTGAAACTGTCTCTCCGAATCTGCGGTAGACAAGGTGTCGAAGTTGAACAGTAAGTCATGTTTTCTAATCTGTCACCTCAAGTCACTGAGGCAAGACACTCCACTTTCTTATGTGGATGTACAGTAGATATAACATGATGGGAGAATCCCAAGCCTGCCCTTTCTCTCCATTGGGAGGCAGCTTAGCCGATCATTCCACACAATGGGGAACTCTCCCTTTTTGGCGATGTGGAGGAATATATAGCCCTGATAGTATCAAGTCAACAGGAATGGTTGAATCCCCTTCCCTGGAAGGACTTGCCATCTCCCCACCATCATTTTCATCTCCACCACCACCAAAGTTGTTGCGGGTGATACCAGATAGTGAGGCTGAATGGTGGGACTTACTGAGATTGATGCTAAGTTCTCTACTGAAGGGTTTTGTGGTACTATTTCCGCTCGATGGTCTGTGGTCAGTCCGCCCCTCCCTGTCTGATCCTCCTCCCCGACGGCCTCTCAAGCGGTTTCCCTCGTCATAGTGCGGTGCACAGTCCGTTTGCCTTGAGGTCATGGTGGTAGACCGGGTACTCAAGTACGGAAATTGATCTCCGTTTCGGAAAAGTGTAGTAGACTGAGAGAAGATTGTCGGTCTCCTTGCTGGAACGAGTATATCACCTTTTTTGATCATATGGGGCGGAACATTTCGCTCGAATAACTCTTCTCGTACTCTCCAATCGTATGAAGAAAGTATGGGAAGATGAGAAATTACCTCCCTATCATCACCTGTAGTGCGAAAATCGTCAGGGGATGAGAAGTCTATATTCTGTTCCAAACATCGCAGCCCTGGATAAGTGGTGTGAGACATGGGTCAAATTCGAATGGATAGGGTGGCAACTTAGACGCAGGTCAGATCATCCTGCTGAGGAAATATTACAGCTTATATACCAAAAGAAATCTGGTAAAGGGGAAGGAAGAAGTCCATAGCCTTCCAAGTGGGGTTCAAACCCCGAGACCGGAGGCGGTGTCGGTGGAGTTACGAGAGAATTCCAATGTGATGTCCGCTTGGAGAAGACAATGTATCAATCAATCAACGTAGATGAAGATTGTATGTGTTTCATCAATTAATGGGTCGAGGTTAGTTTGTGTCATGACCGGGTGATGAGATCTGAATGAGAATATGAAGACCCAAAAGAAAAACGGCTGATCGGCTCCCACAGTTGTCTATAAGGCCACAAGAGTCATGCGCCTATCAAAAGGGAGGAAACAACACATTGAATCACCCTAACGGATTTGTACCCTTCTGTCTCATGATAGCCGAGCTCCATCAACCTCCAAAGAAGCGAGACTGTCAGCGGGATGTACTTATGTAGAATAGCGGTAATGTGTCATTTCGCCTCCTACAACTTCCTCTAGGGGAGTATGAGATCCCACCTCAGATCAATAGAGTACTTTCCGTGACTACCTATACCTTCAGCTATTCCCCCTGGCTGCTCTATATCGCTCTCATCATAGCTAAGAGTAACCAGGCGAGTTCTTGCTCATGCCTCACTGTTATCATAGCTAAGAGTACGTACGGCTATCTAGCAATCAGCTTTGATAAAAAGTGATCACAAAGTGGCATCTCACATTTGGTACTACTGATCTGTCCCCTTGCCGGTTACTCTCCCTTGCTATATACACTATTCTCAACTACCATGTCACTAAGAGCATTTCCCTTGCCGAAGACTTACTTTCGCATAGCTAAGACACTGACGTACGATTACTGCTTTGTCAGCGACAATCGATTCTGGACTGGTCAAGATGTCAGGATGACAAATCTGTGCCCCTCGACCTCCTTGGGCCTGCTTCAATCCACATGGTGCTAGCATTAAATTACAAAACTAGGGAGCCAGAAGGGAACCAAAACAACTCGTCTTGTGTGTATGGGTCCCGATAGGTCTATTCAGTCAAAATGCGAAACGTCACTTAGACTTCTTCTTCGAGTTATAAGAGGATGAGATTTTTCAAAAAACCATACACAAGCTTTAGATCGAGGAATGCAGATGTCTTGTGTGGAATGGTTTGATGTCACTTTTGCTTTGGAATGAGAACCTGGGATGTATCTCTTGGAAGGGTTTGACAAAGCTGCAGAAGGCATTGGTGAGGTTTTTGAAGGAGAGTTGGAGATATCTCCACGGAACAAAGAGTGTATGTGCTTGATAAGGGTTGAGAGTTCTCTCTGTTTTGACTGATTACCAATTCGTTCCTCACTCCCTCTGTCCCACTTGGGGAGGGACTCAATTGTCGAAAAAGTAGAATCAGAATGAGAACCTGAATTCCTTCCACCAACTCCAATGTTTTCTGGATCAGCATAAACATCATCAGATAGGTCAGAGGAATGGGCAGAGGTGGCTGGTGTTTGGGGAGATGCCATAGTCAAATCTGTAGGAGATACGCTTGTTGATTGGCTGAAGCTACTAGAGGTGTCTTGTCTTTTTGGTGATGACTCGGATGGCTCAGAGTTGTGATTGGCAGGCAGTTGTTCAAGATCAGAGCCTCCTACTTGTAGGGTGTCCACTACAAGTTTGTGGGTATCAAGCACAGTCTGCCCTCCTTGAGCTATAGGGGGCAAATGTGGCGATTGGTGGAGAAGTCCGATGTCTTCATCATCTTGTGATTGGTACGGGATCTGGACTATGACTTCCACCAACCACTGGGGTGTCCTGTTTCTCTGTGGACCGTACACTTGAAGACTTGGCAGCCGAGTCGTCTGTATTCAAGTCCATATTGTTCTCAGATCTGATCACCTGGTTCAGTTGGACAGGCTCTGACAGTCTGTCTGTGGTCACTGATGTATTTGGAAGGTTTTGAACCATTTTGTCAGGACGGGTGGTGAGCGAGTATTCCCCTTCATTGGTTTTTGCCTCTGTGACATTGTGGCTGCTTTCAGTTTGTGGAAGGACTGATGGAACATCATGTGCTGTGTCACCAACAAGATTCCCCGGTGAAGTCAATGGCGAGCTGGTCTGGGCAGCCGTGTGTGTAAATCCACTCAAGCATTTTTGTTTGTGACGTTTCCTTTGATCTCGCCTCTTCTTCGTTCTCCGCAGTGTTTCCCAAGCCGTCTTCACTTCTTGATAATCCTGGCTGAATTCAAAGTAGTTATCCCCATCAGGAAACAGTTCCGGATTCTCTTGTGTAGCCTGTATTATCTCTTCCCTGGCACTCCTATACTTGGTATATGCCTCCTCCTTCTCTGTTTCAGTTGGTAGTCCATCTGCCTTACCCACTTGTAGGACAAACTCTGGCTCATTTGCTTGACTGACAAACCACTCTGCGCTCATGTCTCTGATCGTTTCTGCTACATCAACAAGCTCTTGATTCACAGTGGCCCATTCAATATACGCGACGAAGTCGCCATACCTGCTTGACTCATATTGATCTTTGCCTCTTGATATGAGACACCTGGTCCGTAATTCCAAGCTCTTCTGCTTCTCGCTCATTGTGGGCTTCCCTTGAATGGAGTTGTCACAGGATTCAGTCGCATGTTGAAGTTCCTCAAGTTTGTCAATCCATCCCTTCACTTCCGCCTGATATTTAAACGATTCTCTCTGAAAGGATACCGTTGGCAGATGAGCCACTTCTAGAAGCCCACCTAAATATCGAGATACCACGATCAATCGTTCTGATATTTCTGATCTTTTAAACTTGAGCTTATTGTCATTATCTTCCATCGGATCATTTTCCTGGCCAGAAAGTATGTTTTCCTCGACTTCCTTCATGTCACGTTTCAACTGCGCAACGACCGAGCTCAATCTAAAAGTTTGGTAGCTTACAGCGTCTCTAGCGTCCTTAGCACGATCAGTACAGTGTACTTCATCTGGAGCTACTTCATACTCTTTTGGACTATAATAAGGCCACGTTTCCTTCAGATCACCCCCATTGAGAATTGTACGGAATCTTGTGACTTCATCATGGTCACTGATGGAATCGTCTCCATTCAGCTGGCAATTGGTATGCCATTGCGCTGTCTTCCTCCCCAAGTGGTCTGCAGCAGGATAGTAGTAGAATACTAATGTCGAAGATTCATGTTCCATGTTGACTGATAATGGGTATACAAGAGAGAGCCGTATGGCAATTAGGCCAGATACAGGAGACCTTTATCTATTTCTCAAGTATGCATGGCTTGCTTCTCCTCTCATCCATCACTGAAACTCCGAAATCGTGGCGATGCGACGACTTCTTCGAATTTAATATAATCGCGGGAAGCTGAGATCTCTTCCCCGAACCCAACTTCCTCTTACCCCATTCGTTCATCTCTACCCTCGTTCTAGGCTCATCTAGCTCTCCCTTCACTTTCCCTTCCCAACCTCTGTCTAATCAATCTTCCTTCCCCTGGCTTGTCTCTCTACTGTCTTCTTTTCCTTTACCTTTCCTCCTTCCCCTTCCCCTCACACCCCCCTGCTTGAGCTTCCCTCTTTCTACCCCCCTCCCTCCTTTCCGTTTACGTCTATACAAACTGGTAGCCAGTCTGCCAACTGCGTCTTCTCCTTCGTGGTTGGTGCTGCCAAGATCATGGCTTGGTACAGTAAATACCCGGTGACTTTGGAGGATCTATGAGCTTTCTAACTCACTTGATGTGATAAACTTCTTCCGGCCGCTGCCTGGCTAGATATCATGGTTGTTGTTACTGCAGTTTGGGGCTGTGTATGTCCACTGGACATACTCAGGTAAGTAAGCTCTGGTGAAGATTTTGCCAATGGACAACCTTACCCCACTACTGTTGAGTCACTGCCCGCTCAAACACCACTGGGGAAGCATTGATTTGCTGATGGAAAGATACCATCTCAGAGGGAAAGAGAAGTATAATGAACAATATCCATCCTTTAAATCCCAGTTTGTATGCAACTCTGCTCTCTTCTCACCGAGGTGGAATGCAGCAGGTAATAGACGGTCAAGACTCTGTCTGGCTCAAGGGTACCTAGTCACAGGATCCTGGTAGTAGTATTTCATTTCCCATTTCCGTGTGCTCTAATACCACCCCGATTCCGTTTTCATGTGTCACATGAGATCTTTCCTAGCAACTTGTGTCCCTCATCTATCTCTGTCTCGCTTTGCTCTTCTACCTCATATCCTTGTCCACCTTTACTCTGGCATGATTACTGATAATTAGATGATAATACAGAGGGGAAAAAGAGCATGCATCAATTCTACATGTCTCTATACTTATCACATCCCACTCACACACAGTAAACCATAGACAATCAAATAGAGTTCAGAGGATAAGTTGAACAGAGAATTATTCAACGGAAGGGGTAATTATCTAACGGCGGTCTGGCCGTCCTGGACCGATCCTATCGGCTAACATGGCAGTGATATGAATCAACAAGTCTAGTTTCATGTTTTATCAACAAGGTTTCATAATTGCTTCTGCTCTGATGCCTTTTATGCAAGAGAACTGAACCTTCAGTTAGTTAAGTTATCCCCAGTGAGTATGCCTGGTATGGCATTAGACCCAAGACTTCAGTTTAGCTAGATTTATGGCAAATGTATGGGTTAAGCTGTCATGCACATGCATGATTCTGCATGCGGTCAACAGCGTACGCATCACGTATCAAAGACCACGCAGCTTTCTGATCCAAGGTGAATATGTTACGTGACGGATGGAAGCCGTGACGCTTCGAATTGTCACTTGTCTTCCGTACGTCACCTGGCACATCTACAACCTCTGGTCCTGACGGACGTGGAGTCACTTTCCATCACCACCAAAGTACTCGCTCATCAACAGAATTCAATGCGAGAAAACAAGATCAGTCTAGTCTGCTGGCTTTCCATCACCTTTGCCTGCTCAGCACTCATCAAGAGCGATGAGAAGAAAAGGGGCTGACAAGAGGCTCCTAAAAACCTTGCACACCGGAGATCTGATCACATGAGCAATTAATATGACTACCATCATCCCCTCCGACGTTTTCTACCCATTCTTGGAGTTGCTACAAGTCTCGGATATAGGAGTGTGGATATGTGAGTGTATCATACTGATTTCATAGCCATTTATATACAGTAATTACAGTAAACTACGTACTAGGAGAGAACGGGTCTGATCGACTCCAAAGCTGACACTTGGCTGAGGTCGAATTCCCCCTCAACCCATTCCGGCCTCTCATATAGGATAGGGTGGGCACTTTTGGATCTGTTGGAAGGCAAATCAGTCTCGCAGTAGCCTGCTAGGCTCTCAGCTTCTCTCACTCGTGTTGTGGGAGGAGCACTCCAGATTGGTCGAGGTTTGCCCTGTCCGCTTGCGCTCCGCTCGGATAAATGCTCCGTGTGTGTAGACTCGGGATTCTGTGCAACAGTGAGACTATGGACCCCCTTGGGTAGGTGACGTCTTGGTGAAGGAGCAAGTATCACAATCCGTGCTGACGATTCTGACCCACCAAGTTTGACCTGCCTGGGAATGAATCTAAGTGCTTCGGAAGCAGGAACGCCAGGATCATGAGCAGAATGGTGTGATTGGTTCATTGCCAGGGGTACTCCAGTGTATGAGCAGTGAACCTTTCCACCTGTGCTATCATGTTCTCCCGACTGTCCACTCTCTGTGAGTATATCATGTGTGAGTCTGTTGGGTGTGGGTACTAGTGCCACGGCACAGTCTGTGTCCCGTTCGTGTGACTCGTGACCTTTGGAGGACATGGAACCTTCACTCTGACTGGTTTTGTTATCTTTGGAAGCTTCATCATGAATGTCTCTTCCTGTCCCTTGAGGCTCAATTACCGTTGAAGGAGGGTCATCTGGACGTCTTTGAGCTGTCAATGATTGTTGGGAAGTGTTCAATGTTTTATCTTCTGTGTTATCAGGAGCAGAATTCACTTCACTTGGAGGCTCCAAAGATCTCGCAGTGTCAAGTTCTATTGGAGGTGATCCGGACGGAAATGTTGTGAACCGTTCCTCCGGATCCACCATATGTCTTCCCATGAGTTCCTTGTTCGTAGGAAGGTCCACCGCAGAAAGTTCGCGGGAAGGTGAGGGGCCTGAAGTAACAAATTGCGGCTGACTATTGGAGATGAGGTTCCTCCCAGACCTTTTCTTCTTTTTCTTTGACGATTGGTGCCCTCTTTGGACGTGTATTGCATCTGTTTGGCCAAAGTTACTTGACCCAGTCTCTTCTGTCCATCCGGTTGGGGCAGAACTATCCAAGTCAGTGGCTAGTGGACTTTTAGACCGAGCTGATTCTGATGGAGGTTTGAAACTCTGTCTAGGTGACATTGACTCAATGGTCGCCCCTGTCTGTCTTGACTCATCTCTACAGATACCAAATTTGTCTTCTCTTGGTTCTCCACCCAGTTTCAACTGGTCCGTTGTGTCTAAGAGACTTAACACTGGTTTTGGCACAGTTCCACCTTGACTATCTCCCTCTCTGTCCACCAGGGTGAGGGCCTTCTCACCTTGCACACTTGTTGGCCTAGCAATACGTACCAAGGGATCTTCAGAACCCTTTTTTGTGTGCTTGGTCGGACTTTGTAACAAGAAATCTAGACCCCTACCGCCGACTCTTTTCCCATCCTTTTTCCCGTTACCTTTGGTAGGTCCGGGCTCGAGTGCACGCTTGGCATCCACAGATGCTTGAATGCTTTGGCACCGAGCCCCAGCTTCTACCCAGAATGTGTCCCAATCTGGCTCCTGCAGAGGGTAGTATCGAGGGTGTTTAACACTTCTGTCACTCCTTAAGGATGTCACCTGTTCCAGGTAGTCATGTTTCTTTTGGAGTTCGGCTTTTGTATAAACTTCATACGGAAGAAAGTCAGTGGGGTGATCTTGAACCCAACTGCTTCCCTTGCTGCCCAGACTTTGCAGAAGCTGTACAACTCTCTCTGTTTGCGTGTTCAATCTGACATGGGTCTCATTCCACCACCTTTGTTCTATCTCGTGACGCTCATCCCATCTCACTATCAATGCCTCTACGTGGTCGATGTGGTCCCAGTATAGATCAGCAATCTCATCACTGCTTGCTTCTCGCACTGCATTTGACCACGCTTCCAACTGTTTGAAGCCACGCTCAGTATCTTCCGCACTCCAAGTCAGATCTTGTACGACGTGTACCCTAAGTTTGACCAGACTGTTGGTCACGGCAGCGCATACGTTCTTTCGGGAGTCCTCGGTCCCTATGCCATCCCTTAAGAGCCCAAAAAGTTTCTCGTGTTTGTCCAACTCATGATCAGTAGCTTGAAAAGCACGAGCGACATGATCTTTAAGTGACATCTTTGGGCGGGACCGTGCAGGCGTTGTGTTAGTAGTCCGTGATCCACCTATGCTGCTTGATTCAGGTGGCTCTTCTTGCCTGTCCTTTACGTCAGAATCCCCCTTAGGAGCTGAATTGCGGACCCACTGCCAGTGACGATCCCCATTTTTCTGCACGCGATGTAGCTGCCACTCGTGAGGGTCAAACGTTGTCATTGAAGGTAGGGGGGATCTAGGTGGAATCCGCTCGTCCGCTGATGGTGGCAAAAGGGCAATTGATAGGAAATTGAGATTGTGGGGGACGTCAGGAGAATCGGATTTATAAGCTTTCTGCGTAGTGTGTGATGCTGTGCAGGTCTAATCGTACTCCGCTCACCGTGGTCGTAGAGGCGGAGAGGTGGGGGAGGAGGGGGAAGAGGCAGTGAGAAAAAGACCATGAAAGGTGAGCTTCTCTCTCTCTCTTCCCTTTCACCTCTTGGTCCTCTTTTCTTGTGGAGCTTAGAAGTTGTCCCATACACACATAATGCTGTACATAGCCCCATGAGTTTCAAACTCCGTGATGGAGTAGGAGACGAATCTATACTTATGTAGGTTCAAGATGCAGGACATCATCCCGCCAAGGGAGTTGGAAGGCAAAAGTCTCATTTAGACGGACCTCAACGTTCCCAGGTATAATCAACAGGACTGGATGCAGCGCTCCTGGGTTCACTATCTACCTTCTTCTTGGGTTTTAGGGCCCTTCACCTGGATCCTGACAGTCACCCCTCAAACCTATAGCAATGTCTTTTTGTCCTTGTGTGTGATATGTTAGGTGACGGACGGAAGCCATGACGCTTCAAAGTGTCATGGGGCTTAGCGTGACGGATCGAAGATCCGTGCAACTTCGAAGTGTCATGGGTAAAGATCATGACACTTCAAAGCGTCACACTTTCCTGTCCATGACCGTGAGGAGAAATCATCTCCATTGATCCCCATCAACTTCTATGATACCAAACTGTGTCCAGGATATGAGGAGAGCTGCTAGAAGAGCTTCATCCACTTGGGCTCAAAAATAAGCATGTGTTAGGTGCCGCACGGAAGACGTGCAGCTCTGAAGATGCATGGGTGGGATCGTGCCATCCTGAAGGCGTGACTCTTCAGACTGACACGGCCCAAAAACCGTGCATCTCTGAAGCGGCACGGGTAGCTGCCACTTAGACTTTTTCCGTGATCTCCGAGAACTTGTCAACACCTCCCTCTCTTCCTGAGAAACCACAGAGTTGCTTCATTAACCATGTCCATACCTGCCTCCGTGTTTAGCGCAGATTTTGAGAACGGCTTCCAGCAGTGGCTCATTGATCAGAGGTTCAATCATACGTTATCAGATGAGGAGTATAACAATCGAAGATGGGTTCTTGTTCACCCAAATGAATCCCCACCATTCATCACGCCTCATAATTCATGGATGACTCGTATTCGTCAGCAACACAAACTAAGCGAAGATGGGCAGGACATTCTCATGCAGCCACTTTCGACCGATACATGGTTCAAACTTGTTCCAGTCTCACAGGTACTAGCAAAGATCATACATGTACACTGTAATGTGGTATCACATTCCGGACAAAACAAAACCCGTGCTGAGATAAGAGCCCATTATCGAGGAGTGGGTAAAAAGGAAGTCAAAGCAGTCATTGACGCTTGCAACATCTGCCAGTTGAGGTGAGTTCAGACTGTTTATCATAACACTGAACATATAGGGCTCGGAGCAAGGACAAAGGCGACCTGCAGCCCATCAAGTCCAATGACCCCTTCGAACGAATACAGATCGATTTGATTGACATGCGCTCTGATGAATGTAAAACTCGGGGTAAGAACTATCGCTGGATATGCCACATAAAGGATCATTTCTCCAAGTACTCAGAAGTCGTACGCTTTCCTTCAATCTTTGAGAACAAGGTAGGCCGACCTCTCAAGTACCCAATGGAACAGAAAACTGCACAGGAAGTTGAATACTGCCTGCTCTTATGGATCAACCACTTTGGCGCCCCAGATATCCTACAATCAGATAATGGACGTCAATTCTGCAACACCTTGATAACAAGCCTTGCTGAGGTATATGGCATGAAGATTAAGCATGGTTTACCTCGAACACCTCGTGTACAGGGGTTGGTAGAGCAGGCAAATGGTACAGTGAAAACCCGTCTTGCCAAATGGCGGCTTGAACATCCCGAACAACCGTGGTGAGTTTCAGTACACTGGGGATTGCATCTCATTGACCTGTAGGGCGGATGGCTTACCCGATGTTATTCGCTCAATCAATTTCACCAAACATAGCGCAACATTGTGCACGCCTCATGAAGCCGTCTTTGGGCGGAAACAGAGAGAGATTCAGCTTTGGGCCACAGGTGAGAACCGTACTGTTGTTTATGAGGAGAGGAATGTGGAAGATGGAGTAGAAGATGAGGAGGATGATTTGTCAACGGAGGTGGTGTTCCGCTGGGAAAGTGGGCCAAATGTGGATCGAATCCCAACTATTGAAGAAGAGAACACGGCCAGTCAGCAAGCTGTGGGGCAGCAGACACACTCTTCTTTGACAGCGTCGCCGGAGGAAGCCATGCCTGGTGAGTATCTCCTGTGTTGTTTGTCTGGCCATCTAACATGGTAGAGTCACCAACCATGGCCGTATTTCAGCAGCTGTTGGATCCAGCACTAAATTCCCAGCGTGACCAACTTCATGTACAAATGCGAAAACGCCAGGAAGTGGTTCGACAAAGGATGATTGCACGTTATGGCAATGATTATACCCATTTTCAATACGAGGTTGGTGATAAGGTCACAGGTCACTCTTGCGGTTCCAGCAATTGACCGTCCTGGGGCATCGGCTAGCCGTATTCTCTGTCTCGTCTGCGAGGTATTCTCTGCTCCAAATGAGCCTAAATCATACCGTCTACTTTGTCAAGCTGGGGTACTAGACAGGTTATACCGGAGCAAGGTCCTCAATCCAGCCGATCATTTCGAAATTCCAGATGCTGTCCACATTGCTGTCCTACAATGGAAGAGAGAACCAGTAATCTCGCTGAAGGGTGCAGCAAGAAAGCTATTCGGTGAGCCTCTGATACTGTCCCCATTTGAGGCTAATTCTACAGGCCTCACCAAAATTGAAATTCGTTGTCACTGCAAGGGACAATGTGCTACAGTACAGTGTCAATGCAGGAAACGTGGTGTGAAGTGCTCGCTTTACTGTCATGGGCCAATGCTTCATCTCTCCCCAAGAAGAAAAAACAGAAGAGCAAGAAGCGACGTAGAAGAGAAACTCCGGCGAAGTCAAGTTCAAGCGGTACGTGCACTCCTTAATTGTGACATGTTTTTGCTGAATGATGAGCTGAAGATGAGGATACTTCGATCACGGCTCCCTCCATTGAACATACTCCTCCAATCGAAAGTGACAGTGACTCAAGCCATGTCACCGACTGGGTGGAGCATTTTTCTGAGTACGAAACATGGGGTGACGGAGAAGAACATGATGTTCTTCCAGCATTTTGGCATGCAAGAGCCCTTTGGAAGACTATAAGGATTATCTTCCAAAGAAGAGAGATGAATTATGGCTGGCGGAAAGCTGGGAGGCAGACGGTCACACCTGGACTTTGGACAGATCCATGCGCGCATTGTCGAGGAAGTACAAGACTTGGCTTTGGCAAGAAGAGATGTTGCGACATATGGCTCGGGGACGTCGTGGGGTAATGCAGAGGGGTTTTGGAGCAGAGCAGGCGCAATTGATGCTTCATGTGAAAGGTGTGATCCTAGCAAGAGAAGAGTTCAAAAGGAAGTACAGTTATCAATTGATAGGGGAAGGGGCCGATGATGGGGCAGATGATCATACGGTGTAGCAAGCAATACTAGATTGAGCCATGCATCTTTGAAGCGGCACGGATTCACTCCGTGCATCTTCAGAGAGTCACGCTTCTTCAGTTCGGCACCTATCTATGTTTCAGAACCCGTGCATCTCTGAAGGGTCACGTCTTCCGCGCGGCACCTAACACATGCATGCATTCCTCTATAGCCCCATAAAGCTTCACTTTTGTCCACCTCACACTGGGAGTAATGTCAGGATCTGAGCCAGTTTGAAGGTCAAGAGGGGCAGTATTTGAGCGGTATATTCTGATAGAATGGGTACTCGTGGTGTCAGAAAAAATGTGTTGGAGGAGGGAAGTTTCTTCCATGTGTCATGTCTTCCGTCTGTCACGGGTACCCCCGTGCTGCTTCGAAGCGTCACGGCTTCCGTCCGTCACCTAACATGATACACAACTGTCACTGACCGTGAGAGCTGCCAAAGTCCATGTCAAACAAGCTGATTGACCAGTGAGGTTTTATAATGAGAGTCATCAATCCATTTGTCTTTCTGTGTCTCTAATCATGTTGTATTTACCATGTCATGGCATCATTCATCAGGCAACATGCAGTACACCAATGTACCGAGCTGTATTTTGTTAGCCGATAGAATCGGGCCAGGACGGCCGAACCGCCATTAGAATTACCCCTTCCGTCGAATATTTCTTCGTTCAACTTATCCTCTGAACTTTATTCGATCGTCTCTGGTTTACTGCATGTGAGTGGAATGTGATAAGTATACAGACATGTAGAATTGATGCATGCTCTTTTTCCCCTCTGTATTATCATCTAATTATCAGCAAACATATTTGAGATCCTTCCCCATGCTGCCAGCATCAATGGTTGCACGGTATAAGCGAGTACACATTTAGTAGGGCCTTCCAGACAACTTGCTCAGCGGACCGCGTTAGGACTGAGAATAATGGTTCCCTATAAGAAGATTACTATGATCTAGGGGTTCGAGGTGAAGATGGTTGTCATATAGATTGGAGACCTGATGGACACATTCTCTCTTGAGATACCTCAGAGATTCTCTGTCAGCCTGTTTTCTTACCATTGTTCTTCAGTGACTGCTGACTAGCAACAGGCAACCAGCTAATCGTGTTTGACCGCCAGGTACTGGAAGCCTCGGTTCATGAGAGCATTCAGCCGATTGATTAGTAGGCCCATGGTCATTTGATGATGCTCACCATACTCTGCCTGACAACTTACTCTCCTTCTCACTCAGTTTCAACGATGTAGAACAATATCAAACATGTCCACCATCTAAAGTCACTGGGACACTGATAAAAAATAGCAGTATTAACCCACAAGGGCTGCAGAACAATGCAAGTCTGGTTATCACTCTCATCTTTCATCATTCATCATTCATCTCTCATCATCTATCTATCTGAGTCCTAAGTAATGGTGGTGACCCACAGATGTAGGCAAAAGATATGTTGTTCACTATCTATTATAATAACAGATGATGGGTCCGAGATAAAGGAGGGGATAAACCACGTGGCTAGCGGCGACGCCCGCAGAGCGGAAGTGAGACGATAAAGGGGCAAGGGGGAGAGACGCTAGAGGTTCACAGGGATCACAGGTTCACACAGAAGAAGAGTGTGTGAGAGAGAAAAGAGGTCGAGATTCCACGGGTCGACAGCAGCTCGAGAGGCAGGAGACGGGCCTGTCAATTTGACAGGTTAGCACACTAGTCTATTATAATAACAGATGATGTCGAGACAACTTGGGGGGATAAACTACGTGGCGAGCGGCGGCGACGCCCGCAGAGGGGAAGCGGGACGGAAATTTGGCTAAGTTCAAAGCGGGACGGACAGAATTTGGCTAAGTTCTGCCAAAATCGACTTTTTTTCCGTGTTTTCGCGTTTTTTCGCGCTCACCAGTTCCGTGACATGTTATTTGGCTCAGAGACTTCCCTGCCACCTATAGGGGAGAAGAATTCGGACGTCCCCGGTCCACCGTGCACTTTTACAACTTTTACGTTCTACGCATCGGCGCTACGCCCTTCGCGGCCCACACTCGGGGATACTTCTCGGACACCCCGATCCACCGTGCACCTTTACAACTTTTGCATTCTATGCAGCCCACACTCGGGGATACTTCTCGGACGCCCCGGTCCACCGTGCACCTTTACAACTTTTTCGTTCTACGCATCGTTGCTACGTGTTACGGAGTAACAACGAATCGAGAGGACTATATCGAGTTCGACGGATTAGGACAGAGAAGAGCGGGAGTTGGAGGCAGTGCTGCAGTAGGTAGGGACGGGTTTTCCCCTTTCGAGATTTCCCCACTGGGTTTGCTCAAAGCGGTTTTTCACCTGTCCGAGTATGTACGTAGACGCTTGCAGCAGGAAGGAGACGAGGACAAGGATAGCCGTAGACAGTATATAGTACAATCAGCAAAGTACCAACTTTGCTGATTCTTCAATATCATTCTTTGGCTACATCGATTGCAGAGGAGACACGATCCATTAGCACCAGAGCCCCTAGATTTCCACCAGACATCCATCGAGTTCGACCCAACCTGCGACCTAGTCGTCGTGTTTCCAGTACCGTTACACTACACCCTTTGCCGCCCACACTCGGGGATACTTCTCAGACGCTCTTGATCACTGTGACTGTGCATCCCATACGGTCTTCTACTACACACTACATTAATATCTTTGGCTCTCTTCAAACGTGCACCCATAAATTACTACAGACTATTCACATGTGGGTTTTTTGGTACATACCCCCAATTAGTTGCTGACCACATGCCCTCTTTCAGCTATCATAATGAGTCTCACACGTCGGCAGATTGCACAGCAGGCAAGACGTGAGCGGGAACAAGGTTTGAGAGAGCAGTCTGAACTGGGAAATGAGGACATACCAGGTCCTTCAAGACGGGAAGTTGGACAGCGTTCCAGGTGCGATCAGGAACGAATTGACTCACATTGCCGTGCTCGACAGGAATACACTGATGGGACCTCTGCTCATCAATTGGGCCGCTGTGAGGTCCCATGCCCAAAATGTGGTGCGTTACACTGGCTTGAGGAACATGCTATCAACATCGCAGCAGGAGGGGAACGCTCATCCTTGGCTAATCCCCTGTTCTCTGGCTGTTGCTCAAATGGGGCGGTGCAGCTCCCACTTCCATTGGACCCTCCACTTGAACTTCGAGATCTCTTAACAGATCAAACACATCGTAAGCTGACATCATTTAATTCAATGGATGAAACACTGACTGTCATCAGAAGGTAAGCTGCGACGGGAGCAGCTCCGAAATTATAATAATTCTCTTGCTTTCACCTCAATGGGTGTTGATAAGCAAGACATGCGAGTTTGGGGACCTCAAGGGATATACACCTTTCGTATTGGCGGACGAGCATACCACCAAATTGGGGCATTACTTCCTGAAGCTGGAGAACATCCCCGATTTGCTCAAGTTTTCCTGGCGGGTCTGTCTGAAGCAGAACAGGCTGCTCAGCGGAACATTCACATCCGAGGGAGAGGTGAAGAGGGTGTTCTAACCCGCCTGGCTCAGATGATAGAAAGGGTGAACCCATACTATGCTGCTTTCAAGACTTTTCGTGACCGTGACAGGGAATCCGAAGAGGACACACCAATTCTGTATCTTACAATTCTGATTCCTCTGCAAAACGACCCTCGCAGATAAAACCGACCTACGTCAGATGAAGTTGCATGTGTATATGTTGCTGATGAAAATGAACCGTCCCCGGGTCGTGACATTCAAGTTTATTTGCGAGGCGGTGGGGTTCGCAACATTAGTGAACTCCACTCAGCATATCTTCCGCTGCACTTCACTCTTATATACCCACACGGAGAGCCGGGATGGCATCCAAGGATCCCTTTGGCTGGGCAACCACTGGGAGATGATGACGAGATTGGTGAGGGGGAAGATATTGAGGATGGAAATGCTGGAGATGGTGGATTGGTAGCTGAAGTAAGACACTATGGGCGTGGAGGATCTAAGCGAGTGACTCAAGCACAATTTGCAACCTATTATCTCTTCAAACGATCGGGCAATTTCAACACCGCACTCTATTGTGGACGACTCTTTCAGGAGCTATTGGTGGATCAGTGGGCCCAGACCGAATCAAACCGTCTGTGATGGATCCGAGAGAATCAAACCACTCTCCGAGCTGAATCTTACAAGGGATTGGTGGATGCAGTTGATGCTGGGATTCCTTTGGTTGATGTAGGCAAAAAGGTGGTGCTCCCCTCAACATTTGCCGGTTCGCCGCGTCAGATGCATGCCCTGTACCAGGACGCCATGGCTATTGTCTCACACGTGACAACGCCTGACCTATTTGTAACGATCACATGCAATCCCACCTGGACGGAGATTACTCAAGAGTTGGAACCAGGACAGACCGCTCACGACCGCCCTGACTTGGTCTCAAGAGTCTTTGCACTCAAGCTTGACGCCATGCTGCACGAGTTTTTTAAGTTGGGAGTATTGGGAAAGGTACGTCAATAGTATCTGCTAAAGGTGAAATTGCTGATGAGAAGGTGGTTGCAAGGATTTGGGTTATTGAGTTTCAGAAACGGGGGCTTCCACACTGTCATCTGCTCATGTGCCTTGCCCCAGATGACAAACCACGCACACCGGCTGATGTTGACAAGATTGTATGTGCTGAACTCCCCTGTGAGGAAACTCAGCCTGTGCTTTTCAAGGTTGTTACATCCTGTATGCTGCATACATGCAGTGATCGATGCCAAGCCCAGATGCGTCGTGATGGCCGATGTTCAAAGAAGTTCCCCTGGGCTTTTCAACCGGAGACAACAATGGAGCAAGATGGTTACCCTGTTTACCGAAGACGAGACAATGGGCGGTCATGGACCAAGAACCGCATTACATATACCAATCAGCATGTGGTTCCTTACAATCCGTATTTATCAGCTCGATTCAATGCACACATCAATGTAGAGGTTTGCACTTCAATCAGTGCAGTGAAGTATATGTTCAAATATGTTTACAAGGGACATGATCGAGCAAACGTGGCGGTGGTTCCCCATCAAGTGGATCTTGATGAGATCAACCATTACATTGATGCACGCTGGGTTTCTGCGTCTGAAGGTGAGTCATAGTGCAATTTTACTGCTCAGCTAATGTTTTAACAGCTGTTTGGCGACTAAGTGGTAATCCCATGCATGGCCACTTCCCTCCGGTGGAACGACTTCAGCTCCATCTGCCAGACAAAGATCAAGTGCAATTTGTACCTGAAGATGAACGTGCAAATCTACCAGAGGAACTTCAGCGGAACAGCCGGTTATTGGGGTACTTCAAAGCTTGCGAGACCTATTCAGAGTTACTCTGTGACAAGATATATGCCGATGTACCCGAGTTACTCTGTTGGCACGCCAAGGAACGTGCTTGGAAGCCTCAGAAACGTGGAACAGCTATTGGGAGAGTGTATTTTGCCGGTCCTCAGTCTGGGGAGCTCTATTATCTGCGACTTCTGCTCTATCATGTTCCCTGCCCAACATCTTTTGAAAGTCTCCGTACCGTTGATCATACTCTGCATCCGACCTTTCGAGCCGCATGTGTTGCACTTGGCCTACTTGATGACGACCGTGATCTTGATGAATGCCTTACCCAAGCTGCAACATATGCCTCTGGATCTCAGCTACGTTGACTATTTGTGATCATTTTGGTAGAAAATCAACCCTCCAGCCCGGCGGACCTGTGGGACACACACTCAATGGCGTTGAGTGATGATTGTGTTCACATGCTTCGGCAGAAGGGATGGATGGAGAACCCAAGTGTGGAGGAGCGGCTCTCCTACGCGTTACATCTCCTGGGGGGTTTGCTTGAAGAGAGGGGGAACAGTCTGGCTGGGTGTTATCTACCTGAACCAACAGTTGTGTTTCCGGATGACAATGATAGTCGCATTATCAATGAAGAACTGGCTTACAACAGGGGTGAATTGCAGCAGACCAGCACCCTCAACATGGCCCTTGCAAATTCAGAACAACAGGCAGTCATCAACGATGTAGTTCAGGCAACCAGGGCTCGGACTCCGGCGTGCTTTTTCCTTGATGGTCCAGGTGGCTGTGGCAAGACATTTGTGGAGAACACGGTAACAGCGGTTTTGCGAGGGGAAGGTGACATTGTCTTGATGGTTGGATCTTCAGGTATATGTGCAATCCTTCTAAAGGGTGGCCGTACAGGTGAGCCGTGGCGATTTCCTTGAGTGCAGAGTTGACACACAGCCCATTCCCGGTTCAAAATTCCAATCGACATTCATGGCGACTCCCAGTGCAGCATCTCAAAACAGAGTGAACTTGCAAAGCTATTCTTGCGTACCAGGCTGATCATTTGGGATGAGGCGCCCATGCTGCATCGACACTGTGCAGAGGCAGTAGAACACATGCTTCGGGATGTGCGGGGTTCTGAAGAGCCATTTGGAGGGGTGGTAGTGGTATTTGCAGGAGACTTTCGACAGTGTTTGCCGGTGGTGCCACAAGGGAGTCAAGCACAGATCAAGAGCGCATGTTTGACCAGCTCACGTCTGTGGCAGAAGGTGAAACGGCTCAAACTTACTATCAACATGCGGCTCCAGAGTGCAGAGATGTCTGATATTGAGAGGGAGGAAGCAAGTGGGTTTGCAGAGTGGCTTCTCAGGGTAGGGGATGGTTTGGTAGATGGGGAACATTCGGACGCTTTGAGAATACCTCTGGAATTGCGGGTGGAGTCAACAAATGAGTTGCTGCAGCATGTCTATCCCAACCTGGCTCAGAGCTTTCCGACAACAGAAGCTGCTCTTCAGTACTTTGCAGACCGTGCAGTTCTTGCTCCAACCAACGCCGAAGTTGATGAGTTGAACAAGAACCTCCTTGGCCAGCTTAGTGGGGAATCTCGGACGTATCTCAGTGCAGATTGGATCGTGGAGAATGACGGTGCTTCGAACCCGCATGCTCAACCCTTGAATCAGCAACTCTGGCCTATTGAATATCTCAACTCAATCACAATTGGCGGATTCCCTCTTCACAAGACAATTGTAAAAGTTGGGGGAACAGTTCTTTTGCTTCGTAACTTGGATCCAGCTGCAGGTCTTTGCAACGGTACTCGGATCTATGTGACACGTCTTCTACCAAATGTTATTGAGGGGTGCATTCTTGGGGGCGACTTCCATTCAAATAAGTGTTTCATCCCGCGTATCAAACTCGACACTGCAAAATCCGCCAACTTACCTTTCACCTTGCGTCGTAGTCAATTTCCCATACGAGTCGGTCTCGCTCTCACAATCAACAAGGCACAAGGGCAATCTCTCGCAACAGTCGGCTTATGTCTCTCAAAGCCGGTATTTACCCATGGTCAGCTGTATGTTGGTCTCTCTCCGGCACGCTTCAAGAACAGTCTCAAGGTTTTGCTGGAGGATTCAGAGGAAGGGAGAAGAGGTGAGACGAAGAATATTGTGTATAAGGATGTGCTCTTGGCAGCCAGGGCTGCTTAATATGTAATGTGTATAGGTTTGCAGTTTAGATTAGACTTATAGTGTGTATATAGTGTAAGTAGCCTCCCACATGTAGGGAACTGGGGCAGAGAGGGGTGAATTGTAGTGTCTGGGTGGGGGGGAACTGGGGCGTATGCTATGCATGAACTTAGCGAAATTCGATCTGCATGGTTCCACTAGGGAACTGGGGCATACACTAAATTCATCTTAACCATCTGCAGTTGCTCCCGTGAATTTCACGGGTTGGAACACTAGTTCCAGTGGCGAGGTTTTCATCCAGAGTGATTCACTCTGTTTAGCACACTCTGGATATTTGTTTCTTCAAGACGCAGAAACTTCCTCACTGTCAAAGCCATTGCATGATCAGTACTACCAGCTTGGGTGACCTTACTGAGTGCGTCCTGTTCTAGTCACATCAATTGGGGAAGCATATTGGCTGGTTCAGACTCAGAGGGGAGAGGAGAAGGTGGAGGGCAATCAATACTCGTTCTTTCAGAGAGGTCCTGAGCCGCATCATTCAGGCTGAGAAAGGCCTTCCGCAAGCTCTTTCTTGCACTCCAGAGTTGTTGGTTGGTGATATGCAGTTGACAGTTTGATCTTGAGATGTGCCACATGATCTGCTTAATAAATTCTTCACCCTCCTTGGAGCTCTTGGGTAGCATGAGTGTCGCCATGATACAATGAGTTCGGTTCTCCCATAGAGAGTGAAGTTCTTTTCTGACATCCCCCAAGGTGGTATGGTAATCTCTCAGATATTTGCCGAGTATGTCTGCAAACAAACATTCCCCACCTTTGGAGGCCGACTTCAAGATACCCTCCAAGCTCTTAGTGGCTAGCTTTAAGTCCCTTACTTCCCGCCTTGTAGCGTCAATGATCCCTAGACAGCTCTGCGGCTCCTGCCCAAAGAGAAAGTGTGATTCAAGCTGGCTCTCTGCACTTGGGTGAGAAGGTGCACCTGTGTCCGTTTTTGGGACCTTTTTGGTCCAGTCAATTCCTGTTTTGACGTGCAAAATCTCCAACAGGACATCAGGGCTTGAGCTTGATTGACGCCAGCTCTCAGGAATCATGCACAGGGGACGAACAATGGTCCATTCGAAGTCGACACAATGCTCTTGGAGAGTTCCAGGAATGTCAATCTCATCATCGCCATCAACAGGAGTGATCCTTTGTAAACGGATATCAGAAACATCAGGAGTGGTTTGTGACATGCACTGAAGTTGAGAAGATAAGTAGCACTTGTGAAGACTCAGGAAATGGTTGTGAACAGTAAACTCGGCGTGAAGTTAGCAGTATGTATCAAAGTGCGGCGGAGAATGCAGTGAGAGCCTGCATCGCCACTGTCTCTGGCTTCGATGTCTGACGTGGGAGAACTTCCACCATGAGAATCTGTACAGGCTCATCCTCTAGCTCCACACTCCACCGTGAGATGACTTCCGCCCGGCGAGGAGGCGATGGCGCATGGTCTAGTTGATTTGTTGTAAGAGGACCCGTGCGTTCCCCGGAGTCGCTTGAAACTTACCATGTAGGGTTCTGAAATTGACAAGCCAACGCTCAATCTGGGGACTCTCAGGTCTTTCCCTTGTCCTTATCTTTGGGAATGGACTTCACATTTGTGATTTTTCTTTGAGTTTCCGGAGGAGAGATGCACTTCACTTCTTTCACGCTACAATAACAGGTCTAGATTCATACAACACTTAAGAAGTTGGAATATGGTTCATGTAGAGTTGTCAGGATCACGGATATCTACGACGGGTTCCTCAGAGTCTTACTATTCGATTGTTCCCGTCTCCGTCCCTTCGTTACCCTTACGGGGTATCCCGGTTCTCCTTTTACACCTAGTGTCAAGACGGCTCTAGGTTCTCGGGAGACAAGGCCTTGCTACTGACTAGTGCTTAGACGATCTATGTAGTTCAGACAGAGGAAGATACATTCTTCGAAGAGATAACAGATAGCTTCAAATAATGTATCTGCTGACTACGCTCAGGGACTCTTCAACCATAACCCCGTGGACCCTGATCTCCTAATACCGACGTGGCAGTCATGTTCATGACAGTCGCCCCCTCCTAAGGCCGTAGTTCGTGACGACGACTTGGCGCACAACCACGGTAGTCTTCGGGCACAACCCCCGAGTTAGGCATGCATAAAGTTCCGTCGGAAGCAGTTAGGCGCGCACTGAGCTCGGGCCTCCCTTCCACCACTTCTCCCCGTCTTTGAACACATGCAGTCCAATTTCTTTTTTCTCCACTACTTTTCAGCATGCATGTACCTTCCCGACTAAGTAGGCGTGTACAGTAGACTGTCCTCTATCAGCACATGCCCTTATTGCTGCTTCAAAGTAAAAACTCACCGAGATACATTGATCTACCTTCCACCCCCCTGTCCACCGGTGGAATCCTGTTCTCTCGGCCTATACTCAGAAGGAGGGAATTCCTGTCTCATACCACTGTGCCTGGGCTCTAGGACACTCCTTTCTGCGAAGTTTGAGCCATTTCCGAGTCCTTCTTGAACATGCGGCGAAGGGTACACGGGTGGATAAAAGGTAGGTGGAAAACTCGAATAATTCGACACAGGAGGGTACGTAGGTGGCCTCTGGTACCAATTAGATGGCCCAGCAACACCTGGGAGGAAGTGGGGAGAAGGGTAGAAGGGATAGGGAGGACATTCAGGTATTATCTGAACAAATCAGCTGAGAACTTTTATATTCTGCCCAGGAAAAGTGAGAGGAGACATTCCAATGAAAAGCGTACTGGTGGAAGTGTCCTCGCCATCTCTGCAGGCCTCTGTGTCATCACAGGGGCTGATTCCATCATCCTTTGCCCATAATCCTGTCCTGTGACACGAATTCGAGCTAATAACTCCTGTTCCCTTGCTGCTACTGCTTTCTTCGCTGCACACATCCAAGTCGCCGCATGTCTGTTGGTACACAGGTCGCATTTAGGTGGTAGAGGGCGAGGGGGAGCAGATTGCTCACTTTGAGACAGAATACGACCAGACGGAGCTTGAAATGAATGAATGGGTCGAATATTCGAGGTTTTCGACTGTCATGAATGACGCCATCACGTGTTCCTTGTTGCGCAAAACAAGTTCAACCTCCACTTCCGTGTTTTAATATTTCACCTCTGCTCTCATGCCTGTCAGGCATAAACTCCAAGTATCATTTTAGTATGTCGGTGCTTAGCTCCCATGCCTGCAAGGCATAAGTCCCCAGTAATTCTCGAGTCTCTAGTCCCTCTGTTCTAATGCCTGCTAAGGCATAATATCTCAGTCTCTTGTTCTCGCAGCACTTCTATGTTCTGCATAGTCCTTCATAGTTCCTCATCGACCAACTTCGACAAAGTCAAGCGACTTCCGGCGCATCCCGTAGGATGTCATAGGAGGACGTAGGTAAACGCAGAGATGGCATCGTAGGATATCAGTGGTTATCGGTGGGATGCAAGGCAATGCATGCAGGACAGTGCAGGACGGTTCAGAGCGCTCGTATTCCGCAGGTCTGCACGAGCCTCTTGGAAAAGGTTGATTTGTCTATATAAACCCTATCTTGTACTTTGTAGTCTTCTTTAGTTCTTGATCAAAAGTCATTTCCATTGTCACCCTTTTGGAGTCCAGTCCAGTCCAGTTCCCTCTAACCTTGTAAGACAAGCCAGAGACATTCCTTGGGTCACAGTCCCATTCCTTGTTGGACTCAGTCTTGTTATCTTAAGTATATTCCTTGTCACTCCTAGTCCTTGTCCCCTTGTCCTTTGTCCTCTGTCCCAGGGTGGGCAGTATCCTTGACATTGACCTTGCAGGACGGGCTGAAGCTGTTGGGACAGTGGTAGGGGGCCGCTGAGAGTGGTACATTGGTATTGGACGAACAACATGAACCCCAGGGGCCTGAGAAGAAGTATTCTGACTTGCAGCTTGGGTTGCTTGGTACCGAATTGCTTGCCGAGCTCGCAAACCAAGTTGGAGGGGAGGATCAAGGATGTAGTTATCAGAACCATTTTCAGTCTCGAATTCGTCACCTAATTGATGAACTCCACTGGCTCGCAGAGCTGTGTGATTACTTCTCTCATTGGTCTCTTGCAGCAAGACATCGAATCCTACTTCCTGCAGTCTCCAATGACGATGTATCTGATTGATGGTTAAAATACCGTCTCTTCTCATAATATTCGCGATCGTATGAGCACAGGGGAGACCCATAGAGCCCTCGAAGATTCCTGAACACTGGTCAAGGTTGGCTGACAATTTAAGAAGCTTGTTCGCAACTTTCAGTTGATGTTCGAGCTTGTCAGAGGCGAATGAGGAGATGTCACGACGAACTACATTGAGAAGACGATCCCCAAGTGGATTTCGCTGTCTTTGCTGGCCGTCCTTGAGCACGATTTTGTCCCACTGTCTCTCTAGGAAGATATCGAGTTTCTTTATCACCCAGGGTAAGGTACCAGTGTGAGAATTCAAGAATTTCTTCAAAGCTTGATGTTCTCCTTAGTTCCTTGAGGATGAATGCTGACCAAGATTTCGGTTGCTGTTGGTATAAGCATGAGCCCATTTCTCCTTGAATTCAAGAAGACGTTCAATGTATTGAATTGCTGGAAAATGACTAGGTCTCGAAAATTCAGCTTTGATCTTATACATTCCCTGCTGAAGCTTGAAATCAGTCGGGGCCATTACCACTTCCTGTATCCACATGTCCCCGAACCTCTTCCTTGCCAGGACAGCATTTTCTTCCTCTGCAAAGCAATTTGCTTTGTCACATGCGTGTTTGATATTCTCGCGAAGATGCCAAATACAATACTGCTGTTTCACATGAGGTAGCCGAATTCGAAGGGCGTTTGCCAGAGCAACTTCTCTGTCGGTTACTACCACTTGAATACTATACTTGAGAGGGCCCATGAGATCGAGAAATGCTTTCAGGGCGAGGGAATACCAATCTGTAGTCTCTCGGAAGATAAAAGCAACAGCAGCAGTAAAGGTGAGGTTTGTGGCCGTGAGGCCTGTGATGTGTAACATTGGTAATCGATAACGAGTAATCCGATAAGTACAGTCCATCATGAGGACAGTTGGGTACCTATGAAGCAGAGTTCTTGCCTTTGGGGTGGTGTATACGAACCCCAATGTCTCTCTGTGACTGTTGATAAGGGCCTTGAATAATCGTTTTTCTCTCCCGAGACGAAGTAACAAACTTTCAGTGGCTGTATGACCTTCGAGCTGACTTTTTTCGTACCGGTACTTGAAGTTTTTTACATCGTTAGGTGTGAGAAGTGGTTGGTCGGGGTGGTTTTTGAGAACATCAATGATCTGATGAGGGCCAAAACCTTTATCCACATAATCCTGCAGCAACCGAATGATCTCTGGTGTCCTGGAACTTTTTCGTAGATGCGAAAGTAGTAACTTCTTGATAGGAGGGTGATTATGAGAATTACAGATGGTGGTGATAAGTACCGGACGAAATCCATCACTGAAAGCGTCTTTCTGAGGTACTCGGGACAGCTTGATCTTGAATGGACATCCTGTTCGCTGAGTTGCTTTGGCTCGGGATCGTACCTTTTCGTATGAAGTGGTGCGACCAGTACGATATTCACCCCCGCAGACACAATTCAAAATCATGTACTGCTTGTCTTGATTACTTGTCTCTGTCACAAGTGTGAAATCCAACTCTGCAGCTAATCGAAGCAGTTTCTCGCGACCCTGGTTGATATTTGGCTGAGGAGATAGTCGCAAGGGTGGGTGAACCAGAGTAGGTACTCGTTCATGTGGACCAAATTCGTCAACATCAATATTTGACATGGTACCGGGGGTTTCCTCTGCTGAGCTGTCTTCTGAGTCGGTTTTCTGATACAATTCGTCTTCTAAAGCTTGCAGAGAGGAGGTAACTGATTCTTCTTCATCATGAGAGAGAGATCTTGAAAGAAAATCAAGAGGAGAAGGTGTGGGCGATGCTTGAACCGATGTAGTTGGTGGAGTTTCTGGTATTATGATGAGTGGTGATGACGGCTCGGTTTTCAGAGGAGGGAGAGTGTAACGGTACTGGAAACACGACGACTAGGTCGCAGGTTGGGTCGAACTCGATGGATGTCTCGTGGAAATCTAGGGGCTCTGGTGCTAATGGATCGTGTCTCCTCTGCAATCGATGTAGCCAAAGAATGATATTGAAGAATCAGCAAAGTTGGTACTTTGCTGATTGTACTATATACTGTCTACAGGTATCCGTCTCCTCTTCTCAGTCCTACTGCAAGCGTTCATGTACATACTCGGACAGGTGAAAAACCGCTTTGAGCAAACCCAGTGGGGAAAATCTCGAAAGGGGAAAACCCGTCCCTACCTACTGCAGCACTGCCTCCAACTCCCGCTTTCCTCCATCCTAATCCGTCGAACTCGATAGAGTTCCCTCGATTCGTTGTTACCCCGTAACAAGTTTCCCCCCCTGTCTCAAGGATCCTCGCCGAGGATCCTGAGTCCTGTAACCAAGTGATTCACATGGATTGTTCTGAGACACCTTTGGTGCGCCCTGACGTCACACCAAGTTACCTCCCCGTCTTCTTTCTCTTCTTTCCTCCTCATTCTCTCTTTACCTCTTGTTTGTCGTTCTTTTTACTTATCTATCATTATCCATCCATATCTTATTCATATCTTAGAGTATCCTTCCAACTCTGACCTGTCTGTGAGCATGTCTAAGCGTACTGTAAGCAATTCCTTTCGAATTCGATGTATATCCTCCTATTTCTCACTGGCTGACGAGACTAGTTGTCTCCTTCCACCTCCTCTCGTCAAACTCGAGCTTCTACCTTGGCAATCTTACCCAACGTCGACCCCAAACTTCTCATGCGCCAAACAAAAAGAATGAGAATCACTTCCCAAGCTACTGGTTTGACCAAACTCCCATGGCTGACGCCTCTCCAAGGGCTTTCGACGCCATTAAGGATCGATATCATTCCGGTCCTTCTCGCGATCAACAATCCTCTCATCTCGATGACAAGATCATCGAGCAATATATCGACTTCGAAGGGGGTGCTGGGCCATCTGCCACTGGTGAGAACCCATCTCCCGCCAAGTCCGTCGAATCCGAACACGGCACCGTCGTTGAAAATCAAAATTCTCCTGGTATTAAGTCCCCTGTGCCACCTTCTGATTATTCAGAGGGTCTTGTCGAGGTTCCCCATGAACTCGAAACCATATTTCACGCCCCTCGCAAGGTTCCGGTCAATGATGAACTGGCTAAGTTGCTCCAGGATCGAAAAGACTCCGAGATCGGTGAGAATTCCACCAAGTTCTGTTCCCTTCTGACTTGTTAGCTACCCTCTGGTCCAGCATGACCTTCTCCTCTGTTCGTCTTGCGTTGAAGAACGAAGCTCTGGATCGGTTCCGCGAGACCAACGCCATCAAGCCCACTGTAAAGTGGTTTAAGAACGCTGTAAGCCTCGAATTCTTTCAAGTTTCATCAATTCTAATCATTAGCTCGATCGTTTGGCCCAAGGTTGGCGCCTCCGCAACAAGAATGGTGCTGTTGTTCGACTAGAGGGTGAGCTCTGTACCGATTGTCAACGTCGCCTCGATGGTGGTGAAGACTTTCGTGTTGGTTGTATTGGTCCTCGTGAGTTCTTGTTGCTACTCGTTCGATGTTGATGCAATTCAGTCGGCGGTGTTTGCGGCGAATGTTCTGCTAAGGGTACTTCAAAATGTTCGGTGAAGACCAACAATCCCGAGTCCAAATTTCGTGAGGTACCCGTCTATTTCCTTCGAACTTGGTCGATGTTGATGTATAGGGTATCATCGTGGGAGCAAGAACGGTCACTTCCAAGGTTACCTTTGTCCTGGAGCACGAACTTTGTGCAGCTTCGGTTCGTTATCGATCCCTCCCTGCCCATGATCAACCCGCCTGTCTGACCCAACTTTCGGGTTACATCCATCTCTTTACCTCCCTTCTCCTTCCTCTCCCCTCACAGCATCTGGATCTTTACAAATCTCTCCATCTTATTTCCGCCAACTACGCCCCTCCTTCCGCCGATGAAACTCTGGATCATCTTACTTCTACTGGGGATCCAACAGGATTGAGTTCTTCTCAACCAGTCGCCGGACCTTCGTCCTCTCCTCACACCCCTCTTCCTCGCAACATCATTCGTATTCCAGCCTCGGTTCGTCGCCTTCGAGCCGATTCCAACGCTTCCATTGACTAGCGTATTCACATTCCTTTAATTTGTAGACATATTTCCTGTGTATGTATCCATTTCAAACCAAGTTTCCTTGACTTTGATCGAATTCTCACTTTCTTCTGGGGTCCCTTTTCCTCTTTTCCAAAAATTCACCAAAGGTGGCCAATTCTTCTACATTTTCTTGTGGTTCCCAGTCATAGGCCGCATTTCCTGTGTATCCTAACCATTTTACCTTAAATTCTTCCTTTCCTCGCCGAATTCTGCTGTCCACAATCGCTTCCACGTGGAACTCCTCCTGGCCGTTAATTACTACAGGCGGTGGGGGTGGTATCTGTCGACCTGGTATCATATCCTCAGGATATGGTTCCAACAGCGTGACATTGAAGACATTGTGCACTTTCATTGATGGAGGTAGATCTAGTTCGAAAGCATTTTTTCCAACTTTCCTTATGATCTTGAAGGGGCCAATGTATTTTGCTTCTAGTTTTCGACTGGGTCGTTCTGTCGTAAGATACTTCGTACTTAGTAGTACCTGTTCTCCCTTTCTGAATTCTTCTGGTATGCTCTTGTGTCTCCTGTTGTAGTACTCTGCACTAATTTCATTCGCCATCCTGACCTGTTCTTGAACAGTCGCATGCAACTCTCCCATATCTCTCCATTTCTTCTCCAACTTGTTTGACTTTGATCGAATATCGTGCGAATGGATGTCGTAGTGTGGCACATAGCCGTAACAGGCTTCAAAAGGACACAGACCGTGGCTACTATGTGGCGAGCAGTTATAAGCGAACTCAGCAATTGGTAGAAGTTGATCCCAATTGTCCATGTTATAGTTTACATACATTCCGAGCAGGATTTCCATTTGTTGATTTACTCGCTCAGTTTGTCCATCTGTTTGAGGGTGATACGCAGTCGAGTATAAGTTCTTTATTCCCAAGAACTGACATATTTCCTTCCAAATTTCCGCCGTAAACTGAGTTCCTCTATCTGATACAATTGTTCGAGGTACTCCATGTTTTGAAAAGATCTCCTTGATGTAGATGTCGGCCACTTTGTTCGCTGTTAGTCCAGTTGTACATGGAATAAATCTAGCCATCTTGGTTAGTCGATCGACTATTACCAGTATCGCGTCGAACTCGGTTGATTTTGGTAGGGGTCCCACCATATCCATAGAGATATCTGTCCAGGGCAGGTACTGGTAAAGAGACTAGATGTCCATACGGCTGGTGTCGATGAGTCTTGTGTCGGTTACAGATCTCACATCCTTTTACGTATTTCGCAATATACTCGTCCAAATGTGGCCAATAATAGTCTTCTTTCACCATGGTGATAGTCTTGTCTCTTCCTGGGTGTCCCACTAGTATCGAGTCGTGTCTTGCTTTCATTACTTCTAATCTTGCTTGTCCCTCTGGTATGACTACTCTGTTCTTGTACAAGAGTAATCCGCTTTGAGTCCATGATACTATTGGTGTCTCGTTGCTAGCCTGTGTCTTCTGTGTGTCCTGTGTGCTCTGTGTGTTCTGTGTGCTCTGTGTTTCCTGTGTGCTCTGTGTGCTCTGTGTGCTATGTGTCTGTGTCATTTGCAGTCCTAGTCGTCGTATGTTTGCTATGTCTTCTGAGTCTTTCAGTCCGTTCTTGATGAGTCCGAATAATGAGTCCTCCCGGATTGCTCCTCTTACTATGTGTCTTGGTCCTTTGTGTTCTGAGTCCATTGAAATTGATCCAATTTGTTCGTGTGTCAGCAGCAATTGTAGCCAGTTACCTTTGTTTAGATCTGGGTCCTTGCTACTCCCTCTTCCCGGATGATAATCTCCTCATCTAGTTAGAGCATCTGCTCCCCCATTCTTGCTTCCTGGTCGATAAGTGATCTCTATGTTGAAATCCCCTAGTATTTCCAACCACCTCATCTGTCTTCGATTCAGTTGTCGTTTGCTTTGAAAGTATTCCAGGTTCTTGTGATCTGTAATGACTTTTATAACATCAATACTGTTTGCCAAATAGGGTCTCCAGGCTACCAAGCAGTCCACGATGGCTAGTAATTCTTTCTCTCCTACCGTGTAGTTTAGTTCACAGGGTGTCATCGCTCGAGACCAATATGCAACGGGGTGAAGTTCGGTGATCCCTTTTATTGATGGGTGAGGGAATCTTTGAGACGCTATCGCACCTATTGCACAGTCGGATCCATCGGTTTCGATCCAAGTTGGTCGGGTTCTATCAAAATGTCGGAGTACTGGCGCTGTGGTGAATGTTTTCTTTAGATCGTCAAAAGCCTTTTGGCACTCTTGTGTCCAGTTCCAAGCTTGATCTTTCCTGGTCAATCGTGTGAGAGGTCCCACAATATGCGAAAACCCCTTGATAAACCGTCGGTAGAAGTTCGCAAAACCCAAGAACACTTGAGTATCCCGGACTGTCATGGGTTCTCCCCATTCTAGAATAGCTTTCACCTTGTCTTGATCCATTTCGATCCGCTCGTGTCCTATTATGTACCCCAGGAACTTTACTTCATTTGAACTCCATTCACATTTCCTCGGACTGACGACCAAATCGTTTTCAAGCAATCGATCTAACACCTTTTGGACAATTATCTGATGGTTTTTGATCGTGTCGGAGTATACTGTGATGTCGTCGATATAAACTACTACCCCTTCGTCAAGTAGATCGTGAAACATGTCTTGTAGAAAGTTCTGAAAGGTGGCTGGTGCATTACACAGCCCGTCCCTTAGGACTGTGCTCTCGAAACTGCCATATCTTGTTCGTAAGGCAGCTTTATGTTCATCTCCTTCCTTTATTCTGACTAACTGGTAGGCTCCTTTCAGATCGAGTTTAGTAAAGATCCTTCCTAATTGAAGTCGATCGAGTAGTGTCAAAATGAGTGGCATTGGGTATGAATCCTTAACGGTTACCTTGTTCAAGCGCCCGATAATCCGTTACCACTCGATAGGGAATCACTCCCTTTTTGGGGACCAGGAATACAGGAGACCCATAAGGTGATTTACTTCTTTGTAAATGGCCGCTGGCCAAACCGTTGTTGATCCATTGCTTTAGGAATGCGTCCCCATGTTCATCCAGTTGGTAGATTGGACCTGGTTTTAGTTCTGCTCCGGGGGTCAATTCGATCTCGTGATCACATTCTCTTCTTGGTGGTAGTTTTCTGGCCCGTTCCACCTTAAATAACTCCAGGTATTGGTGCCATTGTGTCGGTATGACTTGTCGTAACTCTTCTTCGCTCATCTCATCTTCTCCTTTTTCCAATGCTGTTCCTCTTACTAATCCTTCCTCCAATCTTGGATACTTCCAACCATTATCCTGTCCGATTCCGTCGAATTTGATCAGTCCTTTCCCACAATCGATTCTTGCCCTAAACTGTCTTAAAAAATTTAATCCTACTAGTACTTCTGGCCCTTCGTATGCCATAACATCCAGTCAAGTTGCAATCCTGAGTCCTTTTCCCAGATCTAATTCAGCTTCTACATATTCGGTTACTGACGTCGCGGTAGTTCCATCCAGGAACCTAATATTCCGTGGTACTTGATATTGTTTCTTTGGGAATAGATGGTATAATGGACAGGCCGGCTGCACATACCTTCCTGTAGCACCGGTATCGATTAACATTCCAATCTGTAGGGTATCCTTTTTTGTTTGTATTTTTATATATATTATGGCCGAGTCATTACTGAGATCTATTGGTATTTGAATTTTCTGCGATCCTGTTAGATCCTGGCCGCAAGCAGTCGCATTGCTTAGGCCAGGTAGTCGTTTCCCTCTTCTTCAAAGGTCACCGCCATCCCTCGAACTAATGGCCCCTTAGATCCAGTTGGGATCGAATTCGATCCACTAGGAATTGGTGAGCTATGCGGGTTTGGGGATCCCCTAATACCGTTTCTCGTGTTTCCTCCATTTGGACAGTTGTTTTCATAATGTTCTGGACTTCTACATTTGAGGCAGCGTCGGTTCTCTCTTCTCCAGTTCATTTCATTCTCACTGAGACGTCCTCCATCCTCAGTCCATGTGACCGGGGGGTCGTTTGGAAAACCAAAGTTCATCATCCCTGGTTTTCCACCTGGTAACGGTCCTTTACCACCTGAATGCGGGGTTTGTTGCACAGGGTTTGAAAGATTACTATCCAATCGTATCGAGTTCGATTGTGGAGTGATCCATGTTGTTTCATTTTTACGCCTAGCAGCCCATCGGTTTGCTGCAATCATCGTTTCAGCCATCCGTTGATTCTCCTCAGTTCCTATTACATGTTGCTTGAAGTAGATCCAATCCGATTTGGTTCGAGGGTCGGTGTTATTCACCACTACCACCTTCAGTAGTTCTTCTTTCAGGCCCTGTATGGCTGATGCAATTTTCATCGCATCGGGTACCTTTCCGAGATGAGTTGACCATAATTTGAAGTTTGCAAAATACTCCACTGCGGTGTCGGTCTGTCGTAGCTCTTGTAGTTTCCGCATAGCGGTACCCGCCATGTTGCTGTCCCCGAATTGCGTTCTTAAGTGTTGAATGAATTTATCGTATGTCTCTAGCCACTCGGTCAAATTCCATATACTTGGGTTGGTTATGGCCGGAGTTAAGAGCATTTGAGGGGTACCCCGTAGATGACCGTACATGAACAGGATTTTTCTGCGATCTGTGGCGTATTCTGCCCCTTTGAATTCGAAGTTCATGTGGCATGCTGCAAGGAAGTTGTCCAATTCCCCTCGTTCTTGTCACGGCCGTCGAACAACTACTTCTTAATAGACCGACGGTCGACGAACCTCGGCTAACTTCACGCTCTGAGTCGATGTCTCACCCAACCAGGAGGGCGCAGACGTCGAAAGGGGTGTAACTACGGCGTACTTCGGCGTAGTTACTCTAACTAGGGTTTTGATCTACCGATGGCGATGTATCTTGATTTATAGCTATCTCTATCTGTCTTTTACTACTGACAACAATCAAGGATCGCTGAAGAACTTCAGCGATCTTCTCAGCTAATATTATCTACTCCTCCTAGACGTTCATCCAACCCTCTCGCGCTTTGACGTACTTCAACGCACTTCGTCCAACTTCCCCGAGCCCTCGGCCATCCTCTTCCTCCTTCGACTAACTCCGCCTAACATCGCCGCACTTCTGCTCCCATTGTCCCTACTTAGCCTAACTCCGTCTAACTTCGCCGTACTTCTGCTCCCATTGTCCCTACCTAGCCTAACTCCGTCTAACTTCGCCGTACTTGGTCTCAGAAGTCCTGAGTTACGTGTAGAGTAAAGAGGTTAAGACGTGATGGGGGTTTTGATGGTCAAAGGAGGGTCATTGTTGGTGGAATAATCGAGGTGTCACGACGTAGTTCGTGACAGTTCTCCACTGAAGGTAGGTGGGTCCGCACATCTGGTTCTTCCTATTCGTTCGTTGTTGGTAAGTTTTGGCTCCAAACACGGCTTGTTTTCTTCAATTTCGATCGAACTTGCCCCTTTCGAGGTGAGTATCTGTTGGTTCTGTCGGTCAGCTTTGATCGTAGCCAGTTCTTCCCTTAATGCATTTTGTTCCTTTTGTTGCATCGTCATAATGGCTAATAATTGTGACAACTGCTGCGATAATTCATTCAGCGGATCTGGGGTAGTGGTGGTAGAAGTGAGATCATGTGAAATGGTACTTCTCGAAGAACTTGTTGGCATCTCTTCCTCTGGGACCGGCCCTTGTTCCAACTCCTCTTTTTCCGGTAACATTTTCCGCGCTTTCCCTCTGGTAAGCATGCAATACTCTCCACTTCGACCCAAGGCGCGTAAGGCTGATTCTTCAACTTGTAACGGTACTGGAAAAACGATGACTAGGTCGCAGGTTGGGTCGAACTTGATGGATGTCTCGTAGAAGTCTTGGGGCTCTGGTGCTACTGGATCGTGTCTCCTCTGCAATCGATGTAGCCAAAGAATGATATTGAAGAATCAGCAAAGTTGGTACTTTGCTGATTGTACTATATACTGTCTACGGATATCCTCGTCCTTGTCCCCTTCCTGCTGCAAGCGTCTACGTACATACTCGGACAGGTGAAAAACCGCTTTGAGCAAACCCAGTGGGGAAATCTCGAAAGGGGAAAACCCGTCCCTACCTACTGCAGCACTGCCTCCAACTCCCGCTTTCCTCTGTCCTAATCCGTCGAACTCGATAGAGTCCTCTCGATTTGTTGTTACCCCGTAACAGGGTCGTAGTGACGGAGTACAGGTGCTGTAGTCATCGCCTCCTTCAGATGGTCCATCGAATCCTGTTCACGGGGACCCCATGTGAAGGGTGTGTCCTTTTTGGTGAGTGCGTGTAGAGGGTCGGCGACTTTGGCGTAGTTCTTGATGAATCTGCGGTAGAAATTAGCAAACCCTAAGAAGGACTGTACCTCCTTCAGGTTACGCGGGAGCGGCCAAGCCCTCACCGACTCCACCTTCGTATCGTCCATTTCCACCCCTTGTGGTGTCACCACAAACCCCAAAAACTCCACTCGTTGCACGTGAAACTCGCACTTGTCATGCTTTGCAAACAGCTGGTTCTCCCTTGGCCTCCTAAGTACCTCTCTGACATGTGCAATGTGTGTTGTCGTGTCTGGCGAGTACACTAAGATGTCGTCCAGATATACCACCACGTAAGTGTCAAGTATGTCATGGAATATGTGGTTCATTAGATATTGAAAGGAGGCTGGTGCATTAGTGAGGCCGAAAGGCATAACTCTGTATTCGAAGAGACCAAACCTGGTACGAAACGCCGTCTTCCACTCCTCCCCCTCTGCAATGCGAAGGAGGTTGTACACACCTCGTAAGTCTAGTTTGCTGTACACCTTTGCGTCTTTAAGACGATCCAACAGATCCCCAATCAGCGGCAACGGGTACCTGTTTTTTATAGTAATACTGTTAAGCCGCCGATAGTCGACACATAGTCGCAAACTACCGTCTTTCTTTTTGACAAAAAGGATAGGTGACGCTGCAGGAGATTGAGATGGTACAATAAATCCCTTTGCTAAGTTCTCGTCGAGATACTTCCGTAACTCGGCGAGTTCACTCTCAGACAAAGGGTAAATCGGTCCAGTATGAGGGGACTTACCGTCCATCAAGGGTATGGTATGGTCGAAAGGTCGGTGTTGAGGTAAGCGATCAGCTGATCCTTTCTCGAAGACATCGAGAAAATCGTGGTAGTTGGCTGGTACCACCATCTTTACCTGCACCTGGTCCTGTGTGATCGACGAGTACAGCACCGCTTGTCCCCCCCGTGGTCGTAGTTGTTGCTCAGTCCAGCGCACGTCCGGGTCGACTTTGTGGAAGAACGGCAGACCCAGGACAATCTGTGATACCCGCACTGGGGTGACTAAGAAGTCCGACTTGTAGGGTTCAAATCCCGCACCTAGCAGCAAAGTCATCCGTACTCGGTGGGTAATTCGTCCGGTCTGTGCGTGAGCGCCATCTGCCAACACCAAGGTCTGCGGTCTCTTGAGCAACACCTGCTCCAACCCTTGATCGACTACAAACGCGTCATCAACAAAGTTACACGTTGCACCCGAGTCCAACAGGGCAGAGGGATAGGTTTCTGTCCTTTCAACGATGCAGACAGGGATGGTGAAAAGGTTGACAAGGCTGGTGTCGAAGTACACAACGTTGCCTCCTTTTTTCCCCGACTCCACTCCCGCTCCTGACTGCTCTAACTCCTTGTACACGCCTTCTGCAGTCCCCGACTCTTCAGCTATGTCTTCGTAGCCCAGCTTCTTCAATGTTTTTGTTGTTTTTTCTTTCTTATCCGAGTCAATTACATGTGTGTAGTCCGGTCCTTCTAATTTTTTTGTTGTTTTTTCTTTCTTATTCGAGTCGCTGACTACTGATTCGTTTCTCAAGCCTTTTTTTGTGTTTTCTGGGTTTTCTAATGTTTTTGTTTTCTTTTATCGTTTCATTACCGTCTACCGATCCGTAGTTATCCTCTAACACTTCCGTTCTTTCCTCAGTAGAACCCCACTCATCGTACAGTGTATTCCAATCCTCCTCTCCCCATTTGCCTTCTACCAGTTCCACAGTCCTCAACTGCACATCTGTCCCTCCTTCTTCCTCCTTCTTCCTCCTTCTTCCTCCTTCTGATCCGCCTCCTGTTCATACCCTCCTGCTAATTCCTGTAATTCCAGTTCCTGTTTGTCCCCATAATCCCACTCCCCGTCTATCTCATCTATGTCCTCCAACTCTGCTACTCGTCACTGGCGAGTATCCCTCTGAGGCTGCCTACACTCCCTACTGATGTGCCCAATGCCTCCACAGTTGAAGCACTTAACCGCCCCGGTAGCAGGTGGTGCCAACGTGGGGCGCACATCTACCAATTTCTCCCCAGGGCCAGTGCGTGATACATACTGACTTGGTCTCGGCGAGTACGTGGGAGGAGTCGATGAAGGGCGGTTGACCGCTGTGGAGGACGCCAAGGTGACACGAGGAATTTCAGGTGTTTGGGTACGCCCCGGTACTCGGCGACCCTGTGAGGGTTCTTGGCGGTCGCCTGCGCGCCTTAGGCTTTGACGTCCTCCGAGGTCGAACACTTGGCGGTTTGCATTGTCCAGTTGCACAGCCGTTTTCACCAACCTGTCCAGGTCATGGAAGATTGGCCTGTGCTGTAGCCGCTTTAACTCTCGTTGTACCCCGGGACGTAGTCCATCGTAGAAAGCAAGACATTTCTGGTGTTCGTCGTAGTCAGATCTTGACGTCCGAGACCGGAAACGGATGGAGAATTCCATGACTGTAGTTGTCTGAGTGCATTCTCGGATTTGCTGGTGTAGTTCCAGCTCCCGATCCATTGGTCCAAACATCTCGCGGAGTGTTTCTACGTATCCGTTGAGTGTGTGTGGTTCATTGCCGTCTTCTCGCAAGCTCTCGTACCATATTTCGGCGTTACCCCTTAGGTACATAGATGCAAACTGCACCTTGTCCTCCTCTGTTGGGTAGATTGTCGCCGCTACCGTTAGGAAATGTTTGATCTGACGAATGTGGACTTCGAGCTTGTCCAGATCGTTTTTGCCATGGAACATATCGGGTTTGGGTATCGCCTTGATGGCTTTGCTGACCATTCGGGGTGTCCTTGCAACGCTCACCTCGTCAACCTGCCGACTACGGCTACCGATCTCGCTCAGTTCATCGAGCCCTCGAGAACGGAAGCCACCGGGGTCGCTGACTGTCCCTCGACGCCCCCCCAAAACGTCATCAGGATCCTGGTGTACCCCGGGGTCCGTCCCAAGTGCCGCGAGTCGCCTCACGATCTCAGCCTGCTGTAGCAGCAAGCCGTCGGAGGAGGTGGCCAGGATTGCGGGTCGTACAGTTGGCAATTGCGCCATCGTTGGTAGATGTGGTGGCGTCTCGGGCCTACGTAGTCCCGTCCGATCCCTCCAAGATTGAGGACCAGCACGGCGTATGGTACTGGTCTTGCTAACAACTGAGGCACTGTCGTCCTGGGTATTGGGCGGTTCCGAATTTGTTGGTCGAATGTATTTCTTCTCCTACCAGCTCATCCCTTTGCCATTGATCAATATGACAACTGTATCACTTCTTATGGAAAATGGAAGATCAATGTTCCCTCCCTTTCCTCTCATTTTTGCAAAGATCAGCAGAATAAGAGAGGTGAAGCCGGTTCCGCACGGGATACAGTCAATTCGACACTTCTTGATTCCGCCAACTATGAATATTTTACTTAAAACTCCGACTTACTCATTAGTCTTGATCACTCTCTCATACATGGCTCATTAGTCTGGCATTATATGGCAGGCCCGTCCGGACGCGGACGGACGCATCAGCCAAAATTTGCCACCGCGCGGACTGGGTCCGTCCGGCCAAAACTGCCACTTTGGGCAACCATCCCGCGCCTCAGAGATTGAATCCTAATGCATCCGCCTGCAATTCCTAATGCTATTAGAAAGGCTATGTCGTACAACTGCAGTTATACTCTTAAACAGAGCCAATTATACCTTAGTTATACAACATGAGGTTTCTAATGCATTAGTAGTTGTCTCATTGCCAGAAGAATTGCACTTTGAGCCGTTTTAACTCTCTTCATCATCTTCATACTCATCATTGTTTTTAGTACTTTAACAACTCTTTTATATACACCAACTAGTGTGCCAACCTGTCAAATTGACAGGCCCGTCTCTCGCCTCTCGAGCCGACTTCGTGGATCCGTGGACCCGTGGATTCTCTTCCTATCTACTCTGTGTCACACACTTCTCACTACTTGTGGACCTGTGAACATGTGTGAACCTCTAGCGTCTCTCCCCCCCCCCCCCCCCCTTCTAGTTATCCTCTCGCTTCGGGCCTATGGGCGTCGCCCCTAGCCACGTGGTTTATTCAAATTGACTGGCCCGTCTCCTGCCTTTCAAGCTGGATCCGCAAAATTGTGAACCCCTGAACCCGTATCCCTCTCCCCTCTCTCGCTCTCTCTCGATTAAAGGGAATGACATTTTTATATGCTTTACTTCCCTTTTCTGTCTGTCCGTGAATTAGTGGACCGCGGACCCGTGACCTCTCCCTTGTCTCTCTCTAGCTTGTAGGTAGCAAGTCTAGTGGAGTTGTGACAGCCTGCTCTCCTTCTCCTTCTCCCTCTCCTTCTCCTTCTCCTTCTCCCTCTCCTTCTCCTACTCTTCTCCCCTTCTCTCTTTCACTCTTTCTCACTTTCTCATCACGGTTCATCATCACGCTTTATCCTCTCGCTTTGTCCTCTCGCTTTGTCCTCTCGCTTTGTCCTCTCGCTTTGTCCTCTCGCTTTATCCTCTCGCTTTGTCCTCTCGCTTTGTCCTCTCGCTTTATCCTCTCGCTTTATCCTCTCGCTTTTCTCCTGCCTGCGGCCCGCTCGCCACGTGGTTTATCCCCCCAAGTTGTCTCGACATCATCTGTTATTATACACCAATATGCCTCGTCATGCCAAACAAAACCCAAACTTGACTACAAGCACTCCTTATGTTACGCCTCAAGCCACGAACGCTGTTGATGGAACGGTTGATTTGGAACAATATAACTTGTCCGCAAACAGCACCAAACAGTACAAAAGCCGACAAAAAAAGTGGTTTACATGGGTAAAAGGCAAGCCCTGGCTAACAGAGTGAGTAAAGGACCCACTTTTGCCAACTTCTGCCAACTTCTGCTCATTTTTGCTCGCTTTTGCTCATTATTGATAAAGTTAGCATACTTTGTGACGCTCGTACGTGATGTGCAAAGGAAGGGTGTGTTTGAGTCATCAATAACTGTGTGCTAACGTATAGAGCTACTGTTATCCCGCAATTGGCTTTATTATTTTCATATGAAGTTATTCTGACGGCTCCGGAGCAAAAAAACTCCAAAAGCTTAGCGATAGTTGAGGAAGAAGACGATACGTTTGAAGATGTAGAGATGAGCAGTATTGATAATACTTTGGCGGAAGATCCTTCTCAATACTCTGACGAAACGGAACAACAGCGTCTGGTACAAACACAGGCCAAAATAGACCATCTCTTGCTGTCAAGACCAGGCCCTTCTTCAAGTAATCGTGGTTGTGCAAAATCCAGTAAGCTTTTGATTCAAATTTCAGTATCGCTGCTCATTATACAAGCTCTCACTATCATTTTGGAATGTCAGCGAAGTTGGTCAACGGTGCATGGCTGGGTGGCAGCACTTGTAAATCTCTGGGAACAGCAGGTCAAAAGAGGAATCAACAATTTTACATCGCCTCGGAGCGTTCACACGGCTACAATCATCTCTGTTTTACGAAAGTTCACAGAAAGAAGGAAAAAGTTACTTTTTGAGGACAAGGGCAAATGTAAGTGAACAAACATTAGCAACACCTGACAGATAGAGCTGTTTTATGATGGTTATAAAGATACTAAGCAACTAGCCAGCTCGTTTGCACATTACATGGAGCGGAATAACGAGGAAGGGCTTCGAGATGCCCTTGCGCAAGCCCTTGGTGTATATGGGATGCTTCGAAGCGATAACCAACGTTGAATGCTTCTATCAGACCTTTCCTCAGAAATAGAGCTCAATGAAGGTCCAACAGCGTGTTTGGTAGTTGTTCTTGTCTTACATTCAAGTAAAACAAACTCATCTGGCAAGGCAGAGTATGCTGCGTTTATTCGGAACAAAGATTTGAGTGTATGTCCTGTCTTTTTGCTAAGTTTGTATTTGTTTGCTCGGTATGTGTCAATTCTAATACATAAGAGACTTTGGACTAATAAATAGCTTTTATTGTGGCCCTTCTCCTAGTGGATTTCCAAATCTTGCTACTCGTGCAAACTGGTATGATCTTCCGCTTTTAAGCGACGCCAAGAACAGATTGAAAGAGGTGTCATATGACACTCAAAGAAGAGCAATCAATGAAGCGCTTAAAGCTGCAGATGTACATACCTATCAAAAAACGCACGTTAATAGACGACTAGGCGCACGTCTTGCCAAACAAGGAGGTGCTTCTCCAGATGAAATTGCTCAAGCCGGTCATTGGGCGCATTCGGTTCTTGAAATTCACTATCTTACGCACATCCCTCGTAAAACTGTACGAGCCCTTGCTGGTTTCCCTGTAGAAGGGAAAGGATTTTTCTTACCACGCGCTGTTACTCCTTCTTCTACTCTTTTAAGGAAAGTTTTTCCCGATGTAGATAAATGGTAAGCTGTCTTGTTTATAAAGAATGTAATTTGCTGAACTCTCCTGTTCATCAGCAGCAGGAGTTAACAGGCCGTATGTTTTCGCAGACAATAGCGTCTTTAGGAGAAGTGTTTCTTCAAGGTATTCCTCATTGGCGAAAACTCTTTCCTTCGTTATATATTTCCTACCATCCACTCTTTGCCGATGAAGAGTACAAAGGTTTTGAAGGAGAAGCACTTACACGTACAATCAGTAATGAGCAAAGATATGATGACCGGATAGCTCAAGCTCTTCAAATCATGCATGAACTTTTGCAAACTCAAACTCGAGCTCACTGTCACGGGCGGGGTCTTATCCCCAAAGGGTAAGCAAGGTGACTGAGATGGGGCTGTAACCCAATACTTGTCTCGGGCTCGTAGAGATTGAGGAGTATACAGAGGTTGACAAGGGACTGAGGGAACTGAGGGAACTGAGGGAACTGCAAGATGTCAGGCTGGATCTGACTGGACTGACAAGTTGAGAATGAGATTCAACAAGAGATTCATAGGTGGGGAACAACCTGTTTGGAGGGGGTTTATATCCACAGCAAAACAGGCTGAACTGCAAAACTACAACAATAAGCTACGGAAGAACTGCTAAACATATTTGCAATTCTCTTCAAGAGAATTGGCAATCCTGACATGTGAAACTAAGAACAATAGGCAAAGGACCCAGGGGTCCAGGGGTAACTGTTACAGGTTCATGTGTGCGACAAGGAACAATAGACAGAGGACACAGGAGTCCAGGGGTAAGTGTGTCAAGCATGTGAACACACAGGGGAACAATAGATTAAGGGCACAGGGGTTCAGGGGTAGGTGTTTCATGTGTGGGAGTGTAAGAGATGACAATAGGGATTGTTAATGGAGATCGAGAACAATAAACCTAAGCCAAAGGGGGTCAGGGGAAGTGTTCCAGATGTGTTTCAAGTGTGGGAACACGGGAAAAGACTATCTTAGGTGGCAAGTAGGTGATGTATGACACTCACCAACAATCGTTCCAAGACATACTTTTGAATGTTCTTCAGCTAAATCAAAGTCAAATTCAAAATCAAGAACAAATAAAAGCTGTGTCCAATGGTATCACGCTCATTCACACTGCTCTTAGTCGACCCGTCATCATTCCTGGCCCTTTACAGTCTTTACTTAGCGATATGACCAGAGATCTATCAAATATGGACGTTCAACAATCATCCTCTTCATCATCGTCTTTGTCTGCACCAGTGTACTCAGTACCACTCTCACCAACAATGTTTCCTTCTTCTTCCAACAGTCTTGACTCCTCTTCTTTCATTCAACTTACACCATTTACCATGAGTCGTTCTGTGTGTACGGTCCAGGAATTATGGCAAGAATACACCATTGGTCTTAATGGACGCCCATCTGTTCAGTCCCAATACAAAAACGGTGCTCATGGACTAAAGGATGCTGGTGAAACAGAGAAAAGGTTCTACCGAAGACGAATGGGCGTCATTAAAGCTGTTAAAGAGTTAATGAAATCAAGGGAAATCACAGGGAGCGAAGCAGCAAAACTTTTAGATGTTTATAGACAAGGCTTAAAAAATCCGTCGTTAGATGCGTCACAAAACTGGTTAAGTAAGGCTTCAGCTATAGATATGCTATCTATGTAGAAATTAGAGTAAGTATGCAATATGTAGCGCGTTTCGTCTGTTGTCCGCTTATTTTTGCTAATTCCTGCTCACTTTTGCTCATTTCTGCTCGCTTTTGCTTATTTAAAGGGACTTTGTTAAACCCTGGCTCGTTTTTATTGAGGCGTAGTAAAACATCAAAGAATTGGTTCATAATTTCGTAAAAGTGTGGGAATAAGTACGCCCCTGCTTGACTGCGCCTGTCTCAGACACGGCGTTTGAAAATCGTTTCCTGAAAGCTAGCATGAGGCAATTCAGGTAATTAGCTGTTCGCTTAACATGAAACGCAAAATTGTTGTCTGTAGTGAGGGTAACACCTCCTTTGGTTGTCAAGATGTTGATTAAGAGGTTTTTCACCGTTGTCACATATACCAATGGTCTGCTGCTGTTTCTTCCCCACGTCTCCTCACTTTCAACTGTTTTCACGGCTTGATACTTACAATTTTGAATGCCTCACGTGAGACATAGTCTTAGTATCTCATACATCGTCAGTAGATCCAACAATACCTCCCACAGTCGCCAAAGAGCTCAAAGTATGACCTCCGCGCCTTCAAACCAGCCTAAAACTCCTCGTGGTATGCCAATGAAGTTTGGAGATACGGTTGTTGGTTAGTTACGTTAGTATTTTGTTGGTTAAGCTTATATAATGTAGAATTTGACGCACAATATACGTGGGACGTAATTGTCGGCTTATCCCTGCGAAAGTGGCCAGATTCCAACGTAGATTCGGTCATTAGAATCCCAGATGACAAGAAAAGTCCGAAGGTAGCTATTCTGCCCAATGAATCGTCAAAAGTTAGTCTTTTATGTTGTTTTCATAAGTAAAGTTTTGGATCTAACATATGTAGCTAAAAGACCATCGAGAGGCGTTTAATCACGCCGTTAGCCCTAATGTCTGGCGACGAACTGGTTCTTTGTCCTGCTCTCAGTGTCAAGGCCGTCAAAATCGCTCAAATTCGTGTGCTTTCGGATGTTTGACCGTAGGTGAGATACCTACTGGTGCGTGCTGCAAGTGTGTGGCACTTGGTACGTCAACACGATGTGATTTTGTTAGTAAGGCGGAGATCAAAGTAGACGAGCGAGTGTTCCTTGGTTCTCTTCGTGAAGAGCTAGGTTCAATTAAAGCGGTTAAAAATCATGCTAAGCTAGCTGGTAAGTTTGGTATTTATCATTTACGAGCTTAATCTGACAGACTAGCACAAGGTGGATACATTCTCGCACCTAATGGTATTGCTGGACAATTAGCGATCATTAGAACACGAATCTCGGATCTAATTGCAACACAAGCCCAAGAACTCGCTCCCGATGACGCCTCTGTGTTAGAAACTCCTCGAAAACGTATGAGGAAGTCAACTCAGGCTGGAGCTAGCCCCTTCTAGTGGTTAGTAGTGTTTGTATGCAAGCTATGGTTAGTGTTTGCAGAAGGGAGCAAGAATGAGGAAAATAGAGCAAGAGTAAGCAGATGTTAAGACACGATTTCACTGCGAACGATCGACACCATGAGTCACAATTTCGCTGCGTCAGTTATCGACATGATACCCGGACGGGCCCTAGGACCCCCGTCCGGACTGACTCAGGGTTCATGTCGTATAACAATTCATTATTTACATCAGTTCATCCTGCCGCCTCCACCGACGGGCTATCTCCCATCCCAACCGACGAGGGGGCATCGAGCCAATTCTTGGGTACACAGATGGAGTGTGGTCTGCCTCGAGAAGGCATGGTCCTTTGTCTTGACACTCTTAGATCGGGATCGGCACTACGACTGCGTGGGTGTCGTCCTGTAGAGGAATCTGAGCTGTGCTTTGGGACCCGGAACACCAGCTCAGTTGGAACATTGTCATCAATTGTAAAAGAGGCTTCGGGTATCTCGAATGGAGACTTCTGTGAAGCGGCAGGTAAGTCTGTTGGATACCTCAGCATTGATGGTACGGAGCTGCCACCCACTTCAGCTGACTGTGTGGGGGTGAGCACCTTGTTGTCGTCGGTTTGAATTTCCTGGAGGCACAAAGAGGGAGCGGGTGACCGCTGGACCTCATGCCCTGCATCACTAACGTCTCCCTTCTCTGTATGTCCTAGTTCCCCTATACATGTTTCTGACGTTGCAAGGAAGCTCGATTGAGATCCCGGTGAGCTTGATTCTCCTGTCTTCTGCCTGGGGTGTTCGGAAGCTCCCAATTCGGCATCTTGATTGAGGGGAGACGCCGCCGGACTTTGGTCAAGCTTGCAGCTACTCCTCATTGCTCTCTTCATTCCGGTTCCCCCTGTGCTGTCAGGACTAGGAGTGGTACAGATGTCCACTGGTGTGGGTGTGACAGGGGAACATTGCACTATTTGTTCTGTCACGAGATTTCTCTCCAAGTGTTGAGTGTTGATCTCTGCTGCAACTTCTTGACTGTTCTCTTCGAGCAGAAACATCACATAGTGTTCAGGACCCGAAAATACCCTCTCATCACCTCCATTTAGCTGCTGGGAGGGAGCAGTCTCCAGACTGTCTGAGTCGCATTTGTAGTCATGATCTTGATGGACTGTCTTCTCTGGTGCGTTTGAGAGGTCCACAGAAGGAGATTCCGTAGCGTTAGCAACGACATCAGTGTCCTGCATTTTTAGGGCGTTCAATGGCGTAGTCGGATGACTGTCAGGGTAAGACTCCTGAGCAGGACAAGAAGAGGAAACATCTGGACCATGACCATTCAGGAATGACATCTCTGGAAGTGTGGTAGCTGAGGCTGAGGCCAGCGTTCTAACCGGGGAGTTGGTACGTTTGATAGGTCTCTTGTTGGGTCTCTTCCGACGATTGACCGTGGGTTAAGCTGTCGAGCTGGACGCCAGAGTCCGTGCGGTTTCCACTAGGTTGGCATCGTCGGATGAATGTAATTGTTCTCTAATCCGGCGCTCCACTTGACTCAAAATGGTAGATGTTCTCTTGGATACCTCCTGCCAGGTCAACAACACTTCACGTGGACCGTCCTCCTCATTACCCCTACGCAGAAAAGAGTGTCTAGCTGCTGGCGCTTGAGACTTAGCGTTTTTGATCTCCACTGGTGAAACCAGGTCATTTGAAAAGCAAAGATCAGGCAGTGACCACCAGTACCAACTGCACCAGGCTTGTGTCTGTACATACCAACTTTCGGCCAAATCCCCAAGGGTTTTACGGTCAGTGCAAAGTGCTGAGACTTGCGTACCGATTTCATTCCAGACTCGCTTGGACTGCCTGGACAAAAAATTCATCTCTTGTCTCTCTTCCGCTGTCAGTTCCAGACCTGCTATGGTGTTTCCGGACGAATTCTTTGTCTCCCACGTCCGCAGTTTTTGAAAGTTGTGATTTGACTCTAATTCACCCCATTTTTGCATGAAAAGTGTCAAAGCCACAGTGACAGTGTTGTGGACTATATGTGCGTATGTGAGGCATGTCTGTGCATGTTGTAGGGTGCGCTGAGCATGTGGAGGTCGACAGCCAAGGAGAAGCCATAAGCTCTCCATGGACCCGAGCTTGACATTCTGTTTTTTGACTGAGAGATCCCGCAGCCGGGACAGCTGTTCAATCTCCCGTCGTGTTGCATAACTAGCCGCATTTACCAGGAGGTGTAGGCGTGAGAGCTGCAGTTCCTCATATTCCCCATCCGGAGTTAGGAGTGGTAGAGTTTCCCAAGTCTGGCTGGCTTGCCTGTAGTCTTCCATGCTTCTCTGGTATGGCCAGTCCCCTGGAGGCTGAGACTGATGCAACACAACTCTGACTAGTCTTTCTGACAGACCCCTGGGCGCATCGTGGGGGAGGTTGCTGAGCGGCACGAGGGGACCCCCAATCCATCGCGAGTCCTGGATGTCCTGCGTGTGCAGTTCTAAACGAATGTTAGCTCGGGTAGTGTTATCATCGTTCATGTTGCTAATGAGTGTAAACGTAGGGTAGCCTCGAGCTGTGGAATTATATTGGTTAAAACGACAAGAAGCGGACACTGAGCCAACAGTAGTAGTTGAGTTTGAAGGCAAATCCTATGTATGTGAACTCTCTCAACTATTCCAGACCCATCAATCTCTGCCTAAAGAAGTCTGACAGAGTTGAAAGGGTCATGTAGATCCTTTCTTCTATCCTTCTCCTGTGTTGAGTCGAGTTTTTTTCTCTCTCTCCACTTCTTAGATTCTTTCCCATGGTAGTGCGCAGCAAACAGACTAGTGAGATAGCGGAGAGAGTGTTTAGGCCAGACCTATGAACTTTCTTTTTGAGGGATTGGTTAACGTCCCCATTTTGCAACTATGTCCGAGATAGGTGAGTACAACTGCCCAAGTTGAGACTCATTGAGATGGAAGGTAGGATGGTGAGTTGACACTAGTCCTCTCATGTCTACCAAGCTCACAGTCATCCAACATGCTCCCCAATTTATCATGGAAAACGTAGAGGAATCCATGCTGAATAACGATACCTCACTTGCCCACTTCGGAAAGATTCCCTGACCCCCCTGATCAACACCTCTCCGTCAAAGAATTGACTACTGAGAGGAGATGGTGAGGTCACTATGTGCTCGTATGTATGTATGGGGAGACCATGGTATGATAAGAATACTCATACAAGGGATGCCCATGTGTAGGTCACAATGGTATGTCTCCGTGCGCTCTAACTTTATCACTCTTCTCAGTCTCTGGCCGGATCTATGTTACAGTAGGGACACAGCCGGAGACGGACAGCTCCGGAGCTGCACGGACCACTGTCTTCTTTAACCAAAATTCTCATTTGAAGCTCACCTCCTCCGGTATGTACTGCATATATTTGCTAGCAACTCGATGAAACAATCTATAGGATACAGCCATTACTTTCAACGACTCCGTGAGGGCGCGACTTATGATGTGAACGTGAAAGCAGAAGGAGCACCCATTGGAAAAACAGCCAAAATTTCAGCTGGTTTCAGTTGATACCGTGACAGGCAGAGAACCCGGTGGACCCATTCTTGGGGTTCCCGGTGTAGGTGTGGTATCAGATTCGGCGGAAGAGTCTGAGAAATATCCCGATTCCGTATCCTTCCCTTCACCCTCGTCACTGGTGCCCTTTCTGTCACCCGCCTCTGGAACACCACTCCCTTCACTTACCGCCTCTCCACTATCCCCCTCAGTTCCTAAAACTGATTGGGATTTGATTTCAAGGTCTTTACATTGCCGGTCCCAGGCAACGGCAAGCTGGAAGGGTATATTGATTGCCCTTGATAATTTGGTGATTTCTCCTATGATCGTCTGGAAAGGAGGTATCTCAGGGCTTTTGGTCACTTCTTCATATTGCTCCAGCGCTTCTCTTGCCATCTCAGCAAGGGGCTCTGTATCCTTCACCCTCAACGCAAGACACTCACGGAGTAGGTCCTCTGACAGGGGCGAAGTATCCATTGGATCTGACGTTTCCAAAGTGAGTTCACCCTCCTCATGCTTGGTCAGGGCCTCACTCAGACTTTGACACAGATCACCCAGCCATAACAACAAATCCCTGCAAGTAGCTCCCATATGACTGACTGTAGACTTGTAATCTGTCTCATAGACATGGGCCACGAGGGATAGCTGGTACATGGCATCCCACTGATCATCTGAGAGGTCAAGATCAGTGACAACTTGTGGTAATTTTTCGGTTTGACCATTGCGCCTTGACATGAACAAATGTCTCCAGTACCTTGCCATTGTGAGACAAGAGTTGGAAAGAACCTGTCCATAAGCTTCTCTGGCGTTCATGTAATCATTTTGGATGTAAGTCATTTCTGACTTGAGGTTTTCCAGCAGTCTCTTCGTTTCCGTCTTGTATGCACCATCATCTTCGTTATCGTTGACCTTGTACAGCTTCTGTGAAAGTTCATCAACCTCTCTTTCCCAGGAGCCAACTTCTTCCCAATATGTACTTTGAAACCGTTTGTATCTGCCTGACAACATACCCAGAGGAGGAGGCCAGTCATTCAACTCAAGCTTCAATGAAGCATCAGCAGGATTGTCAAGAGAGGGTAATGTGGCAGGAGATTTTCCTTCCATTATGGCGTTGGTAAAGAGTCCTTGGAGCTGTTCGAGAGTTTGGTGGAACAAACGTGATGCGATTGGTGAGTTCCGGATGGTGAGCAGGACGAAGAGTCAGGAATGAGTACAAGATAGCTTGTTTCTAACGTACCCTTGGAAAGATAGCGTGTGAATATCTCGGCCATCCAATCGCGATTTCGTTGGGGAGGCGATGCGTCTCGGGGAATGATTCGGTCGATTCCTGGGCAGTGGGAAATGGTACGGGTTTTGAGTGCTAAAGGATAAAGGAGACAACGATCATGTTCATGGAGGTGTACGTACGACGGGGAATGTCAAGACCGTAAGGTGAACTTATCAGTAAACGAATGGACGACCTGTACGAGGGGTAAGATTGATTGATTCAGGTTGTCAGTGGATGGAGGTATGTGGTACGGAAGTCTACTCTGACAAGATTGAGGATACGCTCACATTCCTATACTGTATATTTTCCCAAATTTTCTATCTATTTCCAACCCTTTCAATCTTCTCGATCCTTTCATTTTCTCAAAAACTCCTATCCTTGTATTGCCTTCCACTTCCCACGCCTTTTGAAGATGAACCGAATGTGGATATTCCTGATACTCGCTCGATCTCTCGCACTGCTTCTCGTATGTTTGAAGTCTACTCGCCGGTGGGAAGATCCGGCTCGGGAAAGTCTTTCGTCATATGGACCTATAGGTCAGCATACGAAAGACTATGGCGTGTGTGTGAGGTAGGCGTAAACAATTCTCAGTTTGAAATATGCGACACTCGAAAGTGGAAGAAACGAAGAATACAGTGCTCACCTTGTACGCCCTGAAATGGACAGTCTTCCCCACGTCCTCAATCTCTGTCAACTCCTCTTCCGTGAGATCCCTCAATCTCTCAGTCGCAGCGATCTTCGCCAAATTCTCAGCTTTCGTACTAGAAGTGACGGCGACAATCCCGCGGCATACTTGCCAGAGAAGCGACACCTGAGTCTCGTCAACGGTAGTGCCCGATTCGGTGGACAGCTTGGAGGCGATCTTCGATAATACAGGTTTGATGGGTCCACCTGTGGGATGACGAAGGACGGGGGAAAGACCTCCGTAAGACTCGATGACGATGCCGTATTTTTCATGAGCTTCGAGAAGGGGTTCAAGGTGAGTGATGACGTAGGGATGATATTCGAGTTCTAGTAGTGAGCTTGAATTCTAAATCTGGGGTAGGGATGACACTTGGGAGAGTTGTCACAATTCGTCGGTCAAAGTGCAGACAAGGGGCGGTGAGCTGAATAGTTCAATCAAGGTTGAAAGGGAAAGGTTCGAGAAATGGCAAAGAGGGTAAGGGACAAAAGAGAAATGGGACATGAGAGAACACACGGTTGACCACCGGCTTGATCTTCGCAACCTTCATGACCTCTTCAATATCCTGAGGTCTGAAATTACTAACTCCCAAGCTACATCCTGCCAAAGTTCCATCCTCGACAAGGTTCTCGAGATGAGTCCAAAACTCTCCAATCTTTCCATCCTCCGGGACGAACGGAGAGTGGATTAGGAGAAGATCGGGAATGAAGCCGAGCAGACCGAGGGATTCGCCAACGGAACGTTTGATATCTTCCTGAGTAGTCTTGGTGTTGGAAGTTACGGAGACTGGACAAGTCAACTCATGAGGAAGCGGTTCTAAGAGAGGGGTCAGAACATACTTTTGGTAGTGACAAATACATCTTCTCGTTTGAGCCCAGAGGCTTTGATGGCTTCGGCGGTTTCCTTCTCAGTGTAGTACGACTAACACAATGAGCATCAAAATGGCTATCGGCCTTCTAGGGTAATGGAGACTTTAAAGGAGGCCAAGGTCATTAGGGTGACTGACCTTTTCACTACGTCTTCCCGAATGGGAGTCGGGAGATGGATATGGAGTGGGTGACGAGATCAAGGAGTCGCATGCTACAAGAGAAGACTAATGAAGTAAGACTGACCTGAGCTGTATCGATATGCAGGATGCCCGCTTTCAAAGCCAACACTCCGGTTTCTACGGCTTTTTGACCTGATTTGCCTAACCCGCCTGTGCCGTTACCCCATCCGATAGCAGGGATCTTTTTGCCGTCTGACAAAGTGATAGTGCGAGGCATGTCTAGTGTATGTCGGATTGTGAAGGTGTATGTGGTGGAGAAAGGTAGATATACGACGTGTGGAAGCAAGACGAAGATATGGGGGTATTGATAGATGCCGAGTGGAGGTGGAGGTCGGAAGGGTGACTGACCCTGTGGATTGCTAAGCCACCGTACCAAAGATAAGATAGCGTCATACAGCTGCACGCTGCATCACATACAAACAACACATAAGACATGAGATGCATAGCATTGCAACGAGCTACGACAAGCCCCATGCACCAGATCCAACATGCAAGCATGCAACATTGCAGCATTGCACCCACAAGCAACTGTCAACTTCCCCTCATAAATCAGACTCGGACACGGGACGGGATCGACTTCTGGCCAATTTGGAGACTAAATCCGCTACGTACGGAGCGTATACCTGACGGTCAGTCGACACCACCATCGCCACCGATATATCTGTAAGAGAGTGACATGGTTTTGGATGAGGGAAGGGCCGAAGGGAAAAAACATCTGAGACAAGTCTCACCCTCAAATGATCACTGTGGAACGTGGAACCCTGTTGCATTGGCTGTCCGTTGGGTAATAACCATTCGGTCCTATGAAGATAGGTATCATTTCGGATAGCATAGTAATCATGTTTCATCAAGTCGGCACATAAGGCGTAGTCCTGCGATCAGTGTGGGCAAGGGATAGACGAGATGACTTACCATGGCGAACCCGCCGGTATCCATGAGCTAACATCAGCAAACGTACAGTTCCATCCCTTTTAAGAATCCCATTGATCAGGTCTATCTTAAGAGTATACACCCAGCCCAAGATCCGCAGACAGCCGAGGAGATATTGGATAGAACATATGACTCACCTCTAGAACCGCCCCACCAGGTCTCATCCACAATTGATGACTCAGTCCATTCCCATGTACCCCGACGAGGATCTACGATCAGCGACCGTGCTTTTCTCCTCTAGCATCCCTCTTGCTTGAAATCAGTGCAGCATTATGGAGACAAGGGGGGAAGGAAGGAGGGGGGGGGGGAGATAGTTGTGATAAGTGAAAGATGAATAGTCGGGCAGACCATCACTCAGGAAGTGTTACAATGATGTCCTACTCACATCCGTTTTCAGAGCAAGACAGAACTGCTCCGCTCGAGGGATACTTTCCATAAAAGCGTTATTGAACTCTATCTCTCCCCTATCTTCCAAGTCTTGAAGGGACATGACGAGATCTTCAGCATCGGAAGCGACCAAACGTCTCGATGTCATTTGTCTGCGATTAGTCGGCTAATATCACTAGCTCTAACGAGAGCACAAATAAAGGATACTGAGGTATAGAATAACCCACCGATTCACATAAGTGACTATTGGGATCCCAGCTTTATGTCGATGTAAATCACATCCATTCGCCAAAGCATATGCCTTGAGAGCATTCCGCAGCGGTACCATCCAAGTGCTAGGTACAGGTAGATCCGGAAGGTCCATAGTCATCTTGTTCCAGACCCGAACTTTGTTGCCGTGATTGTGAGCTGCAAAACGCTTATCGTTAGCGGAGATTTGCAACGGGAAGGAAAACTTGCATCTACAATGACGAGCTGGAATTAGCGTTCATCTCTTCACACAAGCTCACCGCCCAAGAAGAAGGAGGAACATCTCTCTCTTGATCATACATAATGTCAGGAACAAGCTAGCCATACGAGGGAGAGTGGAGGCGAGAGAGACGTGTGTGTTGGGCTGGGGGGAAGAAAGGAAGGGGGGGGGGGGGGGGGGGGGGGGGATTTTCTCACTTAACTTCTTAATAATGAAGCTCTGGAAGGAATTTTGCCGAAGAAGGAATTATTAATTCCTTTGTTAGCATCAGAAATTTTTCGTTTCGTTTCTTCTGATTGAGATGTACCTGTTCGTTGATTGCGTATTAGAGCCTTAGATTCTTCAGAATGAGTAAATCCTAAAGATCCCTCAGCTCCACCACATAGTACATTATACTATGGGTTAAGTAAACTACTCCAGAATGTTTCTCGTTGATCTAAGCATACTGATAGGAAC